AGATACCCATTACAAAGGATCATCTCTATGAAAACTTCCACTTGGCATATTCGAGAAACTTTTTGGTAGAAAGTCATTTGTCTCCTTTTTCTGGAACTGGGAATAGCACTGGGAAGTGTTCAGGCCTTTTCCCAAATATAATCCCTGAGAGTTTGGAAGCTGAGCATCCTCCCTGCCCACGGCCTCCTGGGACTCTGGATGGCCTGCCTGTCTGCCAGAGACACTGAGCAACTCCATGCTGGAAATGTGGGAAAAATGGTCCCTGTCCTGGAGGTCTTAGGGTCTGCTGGGGGAGACAGAACAGACCCATGTGAAAGAGTCAGGCACACAAATATAACAAAAATAAACCAGAGGCAAACCCATGCAGTGGTGAGAATCCAAGTGGAACTTTGGACTCAAGGTCCTACATTAAGTCGAAGAGAAATAGGAAGAAATGAAATGGAAGGTGCTGGGTGAACCATCAGAAAAGCCTCCCTAGAGGAGGTGAGCGTCATTCATTCATTCATGTGTTCACTCCTTCACTGGCTCTTGTTTAAACTTACTGGGGGCAGATCCTGACAGGTCACTGACACCGCTACTTACTGTGAGCATAGCAGATCCCGCATCTACCTTCCTGAGGATCACAGCACTGAGTGTGCACTAGGGTCAGGGTGATGTGGGGAGACCACAGAGCACACTGTGTGTGGACACACTCCAGGTGGGAAGTCAAGGAAGTTCTGCTCAAGAAAATGATGCTTTCATCAGACTCCTGGAGGCAGCCTCACCCTTTACCCCTAAAGGAAAGGGGGCCAAGGTGCAGGTAGAAGGGGGACCCCCAGCATGTTGACCTTCTGCCTTCTCATCCCATCCTGGCTTGTGTGTGAGCATGTGGATACCTCAGGCCTCAAGTTCAAACCCTGTCCACACACCACACCCACCCCCCCATTGCCCTCTGGCCTGGCTTTAGGCCTAGGGGTTACAATTTACCCTCTGGAGGACCGATCCAGATAAACAGCCCTTGCAGACCAGCAGTGGGCTTGGTGCTATCTGGACAAGGAATTTGGAAGGCCTAGGTTTACAAGGGGTAAATGATCTAGAAGTGAGTACACAGCCTGTGGACAGGCATATCCCCTCCATCCCACAGACTTTTTACTTGATGGAGAGGGCACAGCTGGACGAGGGCCAGTGTGGAGCCTTCTGAAGCCTGGGGCCCAGGGTAGGATCCTGATGGCATGGTCTCAGGCAGTGCTGCCTAAAGGATGCGTAGGGTTAGATGAATAAAGTGCCAGGCCGGGTGTGTTGGCTCGTCTGTAATCCCAGTGCTATGGAAGCAGAAGTGGGAGGATCAGGAGTTCAAGATCAGCCTGGGAAACATAGCGATACCCCATCTCTACAAAAAAATAATAAAAATTTGAATCTGAGGCGATGGGGAAGGCTTCCTGGAGAAGGAACAACCTGTTCAAGATTCCTGAGATGTAAAAAAGCCTAGTTTACCTCCCTAAAAGAAGGGGACAGGTAAGGTGAGGTTGGAGAGTGGACAGAGACCTGGGGGGCCAAAGTAAAGCTTCAGCTTTACAGAGGACACAAGAGACTTGGCGGACCAAGGAAAGGTCATTCTGAATGATGCAAGAACATTCCTTCCAAACTGAGTGTGTGTGACACCAATAAGGTATTTGATGTGAAAAGAGGGAGCAAACTGTTCTGTTTGGCTAGACCTAAGAGTACCGAGAAAAGAAAAAGGAAGGAAAAAAGATATTTGGGGAGGGGCAATTGTAGAAGAGTTGTGGGCATGGTCCAGGGCGTTAGGATGTCAGGTTAAGCCCAGACCTCCTGGGAGAGGTGCTTAAAGAATTGGGCTGGGGGTCAGATTCTCTCCTTATTCTGTGCTTAATATTGAAATAAGCAAAACAGTCGCTACCGTTAACACCTTTCTGCTCTAGTAGCACGCCCTGTGCCTAAACCATAGTACTTTATGTCTGTGTGATTTTCTTGTTTTTCTGTGTGATTGCAGTGTCCTGAAATTCCTTCTGGATTGGCAACACATCCCATTTTCCACTTAGTAAATGTGACCACCTTTTTTATGCTTTGGTCCAACATTTTGACTTTTGTCGCTGAATCTTCATTTCCTTTTTGTGTCATTTATTATTTCGTAATTAGCAGTGACCTTCTCACCACTTAGTGCTTAGAAAATTATGAATACATCAGACCATAATAAGAATTGGCCCTGAGGTTTATAAGCAGATGTTGATGTGTGTGTGTGTGTGTGTGTGTGTGTGTGTGTGTGTGTGTGTGTATGTGTGTGTGTGTTTATGATAACAGTGCTTACGTAATCTCAACAACAGGGGCCCTGGGGACTCACAGTCAGCAGTGGAACAGTTGGTTTAAATTAGGTTTCCATGTGAAATATCGTATCGCTATTTTTTTCCTAACATTGTGGGAAAGTATATGGAAAATGACTGATAGGAAATAAACCTGGATGAGTGATCAGGACTGTGACACAAACCAAGTGGTGTCTCCACCTGCCCTGTGAAGCAGACCTCTCCAGGGAGAGTTGAGTTAACCCTTTCCAGCCACTGGACTAGAAAGTTAATGCATGGTATCAGAACAGCCTGAAAGAATGACTTTCCAGAGAGCCTGATTTGCCACCAATTTCAACCAGAAAGAAGCTAAAGCCATGGAAAGAATATAGCCAGAGGCCTCAACAACTAATGAGTTAGGTGACTTTGAGAAACTGTTTTTTAACTTTTCAGGATCTCATTTCTATTTGTGAGAAGCATTTGAATTTCCAACTCAAAGACTCAGTAGGGTTATGAGGCTAAGAGTTTGCTGCTGGTTTCCCCTTGTAGGATAGGGCTCATCTAAGTCAGACTAAAGGAAGAGTTAGAAGGATGCACCAATGACTCAGTCTCTATTAGCCAAATAATTTCTTGTTCTAGTGAGCCAGGGTTTCACAAAGGTGACTTTTAACCAAGGAACCAGGTGAGAGGACAAATCGGTTGCTCATAGCTACAGGAGAGGGGTCAGCACTAGGAATCCCAGACAGTTCCTGGGATGCTGCAGACCAGGGTTTGTCCCAAGGGTCTGATTCCAGATCCGTTCTCCTGATGCCACCCGAGGGCCCAGTGAAGTCCAGAACAGATGGAGAGCAAAGGTACATGCTGGGAGCCCACTAGGCTCAGGACTGGGCTGGGGGCGGCAGGTAGCCCGCATGTTTTACTTCAGTCTGTTTCAGAAGGGAAGAGGAAGATTATTAATTACTCCAGTGCCTCTGGCTCATACCAGAGAATGGACCTGTTTTATCACTAATACTCCCTGTTGTTCTGATTTTCCTATTTGTTTCTGTGTAGGGATAGGAAAGAGGTATGAGCAAACATTCCTTTCATTTTGTTTTTTCATCTCTTTATCATATTTTGGACTCTTCTCAGTGTCTCAGTATTTCCTTCTTTTATTCCTGCTCTGCCTTCACATACGCAGCTCCAAGCTGAGTGCTTAGGAGGACCTACCTAGAGCCAAGTCTGAAGAAACTGTCACCTTTCAGCCTGGCACCATGACTTACGCCTGTAATCCCAGCACTTTGGGAGGCTGAAGCAGGTGGATCACTTGAGGTCAGGAGTTCAAGACCAGCCTAACCAATATGGTGAAACCTTGTCTCTACTAAAAAATATAAAAATTACTGAAGTGTGGTGGCAGGCAACTGTAATCCTAGTTACTTGGGAGGCTGAGGCAGGAGAATTGCTTGTTCCCGGGAGGTGGAGACTGCAGTGAGACACAATCATGCCACTGCACTCCAGCTGGGAGACAGAGCAAGACTCAGTCTCAAAAAAAGAAAAAAAAAGAAACTGTCTCCTTTCATGAGATGAAAGAGCACTGGACTGGGAGTCCTAGTTTTGACTTCAACAAGAACTGTGACCTTAAAAAGTCAATGATAAGTCAAATTCTTATCATTTTATCCACTCACAGGCCGTATGCCATTGACCTTGAACTCTTTATTTCCTGCAGTTGTCGTAGGTCACCATGAACTCTCTGTTCGGGCCTCTGTTTTAGGCCAGAGAAACGTGTTGCTGCCCAGGCTTCAGCAGTGATGCTGTACCAAGCATAGCTTGTAGGGCCATGTGAGGTCAACACCAAGACTTTGGTCTGTTGACAACCAAGCTTATCAACCCAGATACTAGTCAGGATGGAGAAAGTAACTTGGGTGGATACCCGTATCCAAGCACCAAAGTAAAGGTGGCAGCAAAATAACCTTAGACCAGAAGCAGATGATTTCGAGGTGGCATATTATAAGGGGAGGGTGTAGGTGTGAATTATTTTTAAATATTATCCTCCAGTGTGTAGCAGGAGAAAAAAATCACATTAGAATAACTTTAAGCCCAGAACTAGAGAACAGTCGAGTTTATGTAAACACCTCAGGCATTTTGTGAGTGGTTGATAGTGCAGCCTCTGGAGCAGACAGGCTTTGCCACCTATTGGCTGAAGACCTTACACATGTCCCTGAGGACAATAACGTTCCCTGACTCTTAGAACTATTGTGAGAAATAAAGGAGCTAATATAAATGCTTAGAATATAGGTATAGAGCACGTAATAAGTGCTCTGTAAATATTCATTCATATTATTTTGTCATTTGAGGAGCACAATAGGTAAAGCATTTGTAAAAGTGTGTGTTCTTATTTTTCATTTGATATTATGTATTTTAATAGTAAATGTCTTTGATGGGTTAAGTGCATTTCGTTTTAATGTTCATCAGTGAGCTATCTTTCAATCAAAATTATTTTTAGACCTTATTTTCGTATAGTCTCAAGAAATTTTTTTGATCAAAAGGATTTTATGAATTGCCCTTTTCAGCCTTCTTGTTTTAAAGAAGATGAAGTGTTACAAAAGATTAAGAGATTAAGGACCTATAGATCTTTCATTTCCTAATAACAAATTGATATTTTTAGAAAAACAAAGAATGCTTTTGAAAAAAAAAAAATGCCAAGCTTCTAGGACATAATTCCCGTGAATGTCTCTGTGTGTTTTCCAGGTGAGCTCCTGGGTGACGTGGCTGATCCTCACGGCGGGCTCCATGGAGGAGAAGCGGGAAGTCTTTTCGTATTTGGTGCATGTGGCCAAATGCTGCTGGAACATGGGCAACTACAACGCTGTCATGGAGTTCTTGGCTGGCCTCAGGTATAATCAGTGGGGAATGCTGTTATCTTGGCATGGTTTCCTCTCACCACCTGAATGGCACTGAGTTAATTGTCCAGGGAGTCAGCTTTACCCAAGCTAGATAATTGGAAATGATTATCCTGGGAAATGTCTGATCTTTCAGCACCAAAGGCCCTGTCACTCAAAGATGCTGCGGAATTCAGCCCCTGTGGGCCAGCCACAATCCTCCTTCACTGGGTCTGCTGTGATCCTGTGCTCTTGGCCAAACCAAGTGAAATTCCTTGGTTGCATAACCCCATCAATCCCACCACTGACTATTCCCCTTCCTGTCCTGTAAACCTCACTGTTACCTGTCTCTTTTCAGGTCTGCCTTATGAAGTGTGCCAGGGCTGTATGCTCAACTGCCCTTAGTGATAACAGTGGCTAACATTGACAATAGGCCTCCAATAATGTTAGCTGTCATGATTATCCAACACTGCATGTCAAGCATGGGCTGTGTACATTCCCTACATTGTATCTTTAACTTCTCAAAACAGGTTTATCAGGTAGATACTGTTATTATTCCCACATTATACAAAAGAGGAAGCTACGATGAAGAGAAATTAAGTTATTCACCCAAGGTCACCTGGCATGGCTGGGAATGCAGGCAACCTTGATTTTGGAGCCCATGATCTCAACCATTATGATATCCTACTCTTATGGCTTCTCCATCAAGCTAATAACAAAATCACCATGTGTTCACCAAGTCGCCTACTTTATCCCCTTTCGACCTCAGTTACCTGGTGTAACTGTTCTCACTCCTGTGGGAGGCAGCATGGTATGTGAGGAAGAAGAGAATGAGTTCTTAAGTTAGAATATCAAGAAATCAAATCCTGGTTCCCTCAAGGAATAGCTGTGTGATCCAGGCAAGCTACTTGACTTCATGGAGTCTCAGTTTCTTCATCTGCAAAATGAGGGTAACACTAAAAAGTACCTACATCTTTAGTTGGAATTCAGTGAAATAATATAAAGTACTTGACACGCATGCCTAGCGGATAGTAAAGCCCCAGAAAGAGAAGCTATTGTTATTGTTATGGATTCACGAGATTCACCATCCCCATGAGGGTTCTCACTACAAATGAATTTTACTTCATAACATTAACTGAGGCTTTTCTTTGATTATCCAGGTCCCTATGTAGGAATTCTGGGTTAGGGGAGGAGATGAAAACTCTCAGAGTTCTAGTTTTTTTTCTGTCCTTTTCAACTTTCTTAACTAAGAGAAAACCCAAATGATCATGTCCTTGACATTTAAAATAGTCACACAAATACATCAGACATGACTCAAAAGAAGGAGAAAGTGAAAACAACAACAACAACAAAGCCTTAGAGAACAGAGGCTGTTATCCAAATGATTTTTATTCTCTTTGTGATCAATTTTCTATAAAGAAAATGTGTACGCTGGGCACAGTGGCTCACACCTGTAATCCCAGCACTTTGGGAGGCTGAGGCAGGTGGATCACCTGAGGTCAGGAGTTCAAGACCAGCCTGGCCAACATGGCGTCTCTACTAAAAATGCAAAAATTAGCTCGGTTTGGTGGCAGGCACCTGTAATCTCTGGAGGATGAGGCAGAGAAATCACTTGGACCCAGGATGTGGAGGTTGCAGTGAGCCAAGATCGCGCCATTGCACTCCAGCCTGGGCGACAGGAGCAAAAACACCATCTCAGGAAAAAAAAAGGAAAGAAAGAAAAAGAAAATGTGTATTACATTTCTTTTAAGAAAAGAATTATCATATTTTGATAAGGCCATTTTATTTTAATGATGCTTATCATTCTGTGTCTGACTGGCAAGCTGGTGATGGCTGTTGGCCGGGGACCTCACTTCCTGACCCCATGACATGACTGTCATCACAGCACGGTGGCTGGCTCCTTCCGAAGTGAATGATCCAAGAGAGGGAGGCAGAGGCTGCAATGCCTTTTATGGGCTAGCCTCGGGAATCACACACAGTCACTCCTGCCATATTGTACTGATCACATAGCACCAGCATGGATTCCTTGTGGGTAGAGAATGTACAAATCCACAAAACCAGGAGGTGTGGACCATGGGAGGCCGTCTTGGAGGCTGGCTGCCACATACCATGTTGTAGATTCTCTTATTACAAGAATGGCCTCAGAATGACCTGTGGAGCCCTAGACTTAATGGGACTTTAAGATTCAACTTAGTTTAAATCCAAAATCCAAGAAGACCACAGACCTTGGTGATCTCCCTAAATGAGGAATAATCTCAAACCAGGACAGACCTCAACACTGATCCCAGTGCATTTTGTCTCACACCCTAGACCCACTGCTGCCTAATTTCATGCTCCTATATTTGGCTTAAAGCTAAATTGATCTTTACAGTTAGATAGGCAAAAGTACCAGGTATAATAGGTCTTTTGTTCACAGCTATTCTGTACACAGGAGGTAAGTGGCCAGATATTCTTATGATGCAATAATTATGGAGACAGAGCTTATGTGTGCACTTTTAGACTTGAAAGCAAGTAACTATTATCAACATAATAGGGATTATTTTTTAAGCAATTAAATGGGAAGAGAAAGCATACTTGTTATTAAGTGACTTTGGTTTTTAATAGATATTGTACGTTTTGCTTCCTCTAACTAAATTCGTAGCTCTTTCAAGCCTCTAGTAAGACGCGCAAAGATTTAACATCAATATTTACTCAGTCATGATGCCAATTTAAAATAACCCAAATGAACAACAATAGGAAAAGAATTAAAGGGAATAATGTAATACATCCAGGTAATGGAATATTATTTAGCCATCAAAAATGATGTTTGTAAAAAACAATTTTTTTTTTTTGAGACAGAGTTCACTCCCTCACCAGGTGCCAGGCTGGAGTGCAGTGGTGCAACCTCGGCTCACTGCAGCCTCTGCCTCCTGGGTTCAAGCAATTCTTCTGCCTCAGCCTCCCAAGGAGCTGGGACTACAGACGTGCGCCACAACGCCCAGCTAATTTTTTTGTATTTCTGGTAGAGACGGGGTTTCACCATTTTGGCCAGGATGGTCTCAATCTCCTGACCTCATGATCCACCCACCTCGGCCTCCCAAAGTGCTGGGATTACAGGCATGAGCCACAGCACCCGGCCAAAACATTTTTTTTTAAACAGAGTCTTACTCTGTCACCCAGGCTGGAATGTAGTAGTATGATCTCAGCTCACTGCAACCTCCACCTCCCAGGTTTGAGGGATTCTTCTGCCTCAGCCTCCCGAGTAGCTGGGATTACAGGAACCTGCCAAGATGCCCTGATACATTTTTTGTATTTTTAGTAGAGACAGGGTTTCAACATGTTGGCCAGGCTGATCTTGAACTCCTGACCTCAAGCAATCCACCGCCTCAGACTCCCAAAGTGCTAGGATTACAGACATGAGATAAAAAACAAATTTTTATGAGATAAGGTCTTGCTCTATTGCCCAGGCTGGAGTGCAGGGGCAGGATCATAGCTCACCGTAACCTCTTACCCTGAGCTCAAGCAATCCTCCCACTTCAGCTTCCAAGCAGCTAGGACTACAGGAGTGCACCAGCACAATGGCTATTTTTTTTTCTTTTTTTTTGAGACGGAGTTTCGCTCTTGTTACCCAGGCTGGAGTGCAATGGCGCGATCTCGGCTCACCGCAACCTCCGCCTCCTGGGTTCAGGCAATTCTCCTGTCTCAGCCTCCTGAGTAGCTGGGATTACAGGCATGCACCACCATGCCCAACTAACTTTTTGTATTTTTAGTAGAGATGGGGTTTCACCTTGTTAACCAGGATGGTCTTGATCTCTTGACCTCGTGATCCATCCACCTCGGCCTCCCAAAGTGCTGGGATTACAGGCTTGAGCCACCGCGCCCAGCCTATTTACATAAAGTTTAAAAATGCACAAACAATTCTGTAACTTGCTTAGTGATATATGCATATATTGGAAAAGTATGAAGAATTTTAAGGAAAAGAGAACCCCAAAGTCCCAGCGGGGGTCCAGTCTGGTGAGGGAGGAATAGAGCGTGTGCTCTTGGAGGAATACACTAGGGCCTCAACTACATTGTTGATTTTTGATTTTTTAAACTGAGAGGTTGGCACATGGGCGTTGTCATGTTGTACTTCTTTATGTCTTTTGGATGCCTTATATATTACACAATGATTTTGGAATCCAGTTTAATCTAAATCAAAAAAAAATTTGGAGACACAGTCTCACTATGTTGCCCAGGCTGGAGTGCAGTGATGTGATCTCGGCTCACTGCAACCTCCACCTCCCGGGTTCAAGCGATTCTCCTGCCTCAGCCTCCCGAGTAGCTGGGACTACAGGTCCACACCACCACACCCAGCTAATTCTTTGTATTTTGGTAGAAACAGGGTTTCACCATGTTGCCCAGGCTGGTCTTGAACTCCTGACCACAGGCAATCCGCCTGCCTCAGCCTCCCAAAGTGCTCGGATTACAGGCTTGAGCCACTACACCCAACCCTAAATCAAAATTTTAACCTCTCATTCAATATATATTTTCTTCCCTTTCCCCATGTTTCACAGCCCAACCAATCTCAAAGACTTGGAGTAATAGGGAAGATAGGGTTTATCTTTTTTCTCCCTCTTCTCTTCGACCGGGTCTCTGCAGAAAAAAGGTGGACAGGAGAGGAGAGGGGAAAGGATGGGGGTAAAGGGAGCACAGAGTCTTCCCTAATGGGGCAGTTGAAATCTGGCCTTGGTGCCCTCACAGAGCCCAATGCAGGGCGCTTTTAGGTTTTCTTACTAGTTACCCTACTCATTTCCCTCCACCTCCCCACTGCACCATTACCTAGTGAAATGCAGTGTACCCTCTGGTCAGCCTCTTAGTCCTCACTCCCGGGGGTTCCTGTCCTCACAGGCCCTTTCTGCTAGGGTCACCTCATTGGGCAGGTGGGCCCTTCAAGACAGCTCAAGCCCCACCTCTTTCTACAGCGTCCCCTCCTGACTCACAGGAAAGACTCAGCACTTTGCCCTCCGAACTCTGCAAGGACAGGACATATCCACTGGAATCTTCTCTCTCCCTTTGCCATCAGGCAGCTCCATCTAGCCTCAAATCTTTAGGCAAGAGTCAGGTACCAGTCCATGTGGTCCACAAACTGCCCAGGACACAGTTCAATGTCCCCATGGAATTCACTTAACGCCCCCTGCACGTGGGGTGACTTCCTCCTCTCACAGAGAGGTGAGCCCTCCCACAATTCCCCCTAGAGAAATACTCCCAACCTATCTGCTCAGATCCACTTCCTCTGCATGGGCGGAAGGAGAGTGGGCAGAGCAGTTCGGGCACCATCTTGTGACAGCCCCTCTTTAGAAGGTGTGGAGCAATGTCACCTGTGGTTCTCACCAAGAGTTTCAGAATAAGGAAAGTCCCACTTAACGTCCTGTTATGCAAAGAATACTTTACAAGGTCCTCCAAGATGGGCTGGTGGCTTCATGTCAAAGCTTGATTCAGTAAAAATCAATTATACAGAAGAGGTGAAAACAATGGCCTTATGTTTATCACTAAGGGACTGGCTTAATCCAAGAGTAACATTTAAAAGATCGCCGGGCGCAGTGGCTCAAGCCTGTAATCCCAGCACTTTGGGAAGCCGAGGCGGGTGGATCACAAGGTCAAGAGATCGAGACCAACCTTGGTCAACAAGGTGAAACCCCGTCTCTACTAAAAATACAAAAAATTAGCTGGGCATGGTGGTGCGTGCCTGTAATCCCAGCTACTCAGGAGGCTGAGGCAGGAGAATTGCCTGAGCCCAGGAGGCGGAGGTTGCGGTGAGCCGAGATCGCGCCATTGCACTCCAGCCTGGGTAACAAGAGCGAAACTCCGTCTCAAAAAAAAAAAAAAAAAAAAAAAAAAGATCAAGAGGACCAGATGGGCCAGGTTCCCCAGGCAGTCCTCCTCCATCAATATTTGTACAAACCATATTACCCTCTGCTTTCTCCTTATGGCCATAGCTCCCAGAAAAACTCAAACCTACATTCAGTGCCCAGCTTCCATAACTAACATGTCCCATATACCTATTTTTGTTTGTATCTGTCCTATTTAATTCTTAGTTTCAATTTACGAAAGTATTATTCATATTATCTGGGGAAGTAGATGGGGATAGGAAACCTACGTAAATATTAACAAGTAAAGAAGACTTGGGGCCGGGTGCGGTGGTTCACGCCTTTAATCCCAGCACTTTGGGAGGCTAAGCAGGTAGATCACCTGAAGTCAGGATTTGGAGACCAGCCTGGCCAACATGGTGAAACCCCATCTCTAGTAAAACTACAAAAATTAGCCTGTCACGGTGGCACACACCTGTAGTCCCAGCTACTGGGGAGACTGAGGCAGGAGAATTGCTTGAACCTTGGAGGCAGAGATTGCAATGAGCTGAGATCGCACCACTGCACTCCAGCCTGAGTGACAGAGTGAGACTCCACCTTTAAAAAAAAAAAAAATTAACAAAAAGAATGAATTTGTATGGAATTTAGGCTCCTTGCTGTAAACTATATTATTTCTCCTTCAGACTAAAAAAATGTCATTTACTTGCAATAGGTCAAGAAAAGTTTTAAAAATGTGGCAGTTTATGGACCAGTCTGATATTGAGACCATGAGGAGCCTGAAGGATGCTATGGCCCAGCATGAGTCCTCTTGTGAGTACAGAAAGGTGGTGACGCGTGCCCTGCACGTCCCTGGCTGTAAGGTGGTTCCGTTCTGTGGGGTGTTTCTGAAGGAGCTCTGTGAAGTGCTCGACGGCGCCTCCGGCCTCATGAAGCTTTGCCCGCGGTACAATTCCCGAGAAGAAACTTTAGAGGTAAGGCCTTTTGGAATCATCGTGGCCTGAGGAGCCCCTGTTGCCGCCTGTCTCATCCGGCCCTGCCTGTGCTCACTAGAGAAATGATCACTGATTGAGCACAGGGTTAACAGTTGTTATTACTGTTTCTGGGTAGCACATAGATCCTTGGATATTCTGAAGAAAAGAATGCCAGCTAGCACTGTGTGGGGCATAGTATTGCGAAGTCAGTTTTTTTATTTGTTTGTTTTGTTTGTTTTGAGACAGAGTTTGCTCTTGTTGCCCAGGCTGGAGTGCAATGGCACCATCTCCGCTCACTGCAACCTCTGCCTCGCGAGTTCAAGCGATTCTCCTGCCTCAGCCTCCTGGGTAACTGGGATTATAGGCATGCACCACCACACCTGGCTAATTTTGTATTTTTAGTAGAGACAGGATTTCACTATGTTGGTCAGGCTGGTCTTGAACTCCTGACCTCCGGTGATCCGCCTGCCTCGGCCTCCCAAAGAGCTGGGATTACAGATATGAGCCACCACGCCCGGCCTGTGAAGTTAATTTTAATGTATTAGGCTTAATGTGTAAGTACAAGTTGAAAAGGTTGTTGTTTTACGATTTTTTTTCAAAGATTGACAGGTTTTTCTTATTGGGTGGGAATATCTGGATGCAGGGAATAAAGAACATCCATGAGCGTATTAAGTTTTCCACATCAGTGGGAGAAAAAAGAGGGGGATTCAACACTGCCTTCTTTCCATCCCTTGTGGAAAAATGCTGGGGAGCCTGGAGCCTCATCTAGAGACAAGCTCCAGGCTCCTGATCCCCGGGGCCTAGTTCCTCCCAGGCCGGTTGCCTCCTGTTCCTGATTCCCAGAGCAGAAGGGATGGTGTGAGCTTCGACCCAGGGCATCAGGCATTGGAGAGAAGGGGATTGACAAACTGGAGGGAAATGAGAAGGAAACTTTTCTCTAAGGTGTTTTAAAATGAAAGAAGTGACTAAATGGAAAAAGCTTTATGGAGATTTTGGGAAGTTCTTTACCCAGGACCAAACCTAAATCTAGAATCATTCCTGCCATGATGCTGGAACCCACTATTGACCTTTCACACACACACACACACACACAAAGACACACACACACACAAAGACACACAGAGAGAGAGAGAGAGAGAGAGAGAGAGAGTCATGCACACACCTTCTCCATGGGAGTGGGAAGACTCTCCTCAACCTTCAGCGTCTTCTTTGTCACCTGGGAGCAAAGGCATCACCTGATATCAGTGAGACTTAGGAGCCCCTGACAGGTACAGGCAACACCACCGACATCTCTCTGGATTATGAGCTGGGATAAAAGGGCAAGAAATGGAAAAAGAAGCTTAAAGGAAGCCTCCCGGGCCACACCCCTCGCTCCACGTCTCTTATCCCAGACATAGCTCTCATCTCTGATGGGAGAAGCTTCCTGATCAACTGTACAAACAATAAGAGCTTAAAAGCCAGGAAGAAGCCACTGTGTTGTTATAGGACATGAGCAATAAAGTAAAACATCACCTCTTCTCAGTGTTTTGCCTAGGCCCAGTCATTTTATCTGGTTCTATAGAATAGCATACTTTACTCATGGTTTTTCTCAATTCTCACTACAAGGATAAAATAACCATGCCCTTCCTCTGCAAAGTGGCTAATCTTCTCCTTAGGGAGCCCTGAAATAATATTGTTTTTGGTGTTTTAAATGTGAAGTGGAGTGTCGATTCCTAGAGGGATTAAAGTTGTCTCAGTGGAAACAAGGGTGAGTTTTGATATTTCATGTGGTGAAATGAAAAAATGTTTTTCCTGGAGGCTCTTGTTTTCTTTCCCATAAAATAGGCACAAATGCCATTATTTATTACTTTATGATTTCATTTCCCTAGCCAAGTAGGTTGTCCAGGCATATTAAGTTGCAATAGCAAATTCTCAATATATTTTCCTGTAGTTTGTAGCAGATTACAGTGGACAAGATAATTTCTTACAACGAGTGGGACAAAATGGCTTAAAGAATTCCGAGAAGGAGTCCACTGTCAACAGCATCTTTCAGGTCATTCGGAGCTGCAGCCGAAGTCTGGAGACAGAGGAGGAGGACAGCCCCAGTGAGGGGAACAGCTCCAGGAAAAGTTCCTTGAAGGACAAAACCCAATGGCAGTAAGTTTTACGCTTTAAAAAGTGGGGAATGCCCACGTCTTCTTTTTTCCTGCTGATGAGTTGTTTCCTACTTCAGCTTAGTTTCAGATGGACACCTCATCAAAACCTCCCACTTTTATCATTAAGCCACACTTCTTTATCATCAAACCTTACCAAGTCCAAATTCGAATTTATCTTTCTTATTTTGCTGCTTTGCTCTAAAATTACTGCTCATAATTTAACTTCTTGCCACCTATTACCTCTTTAAAAAAACAACAAACCTAGAGCTATCCTGTCATTTCTAAGAAGTCAACACATTAAATTTCAGGAGGAGAGCTGTGATCTTTTATTTCCTAGTTTTCTAACAGTGGGTTTTAGTAATTCTTAGGTGGGGTACTAGGATGGGTATTAAGATATTTTTAAATCAAATCTACTAATTTAGTTAGGTCTAGGTGATACCTAGATATCAGTATTTTTAGCTTTCCCAACCTCTGGGTGATTCTGAGTTGAAAGTTAAGGGTATCACTTTGAGAAACACTGCTCTGTGAGGTGTGTTAAAATTAACCCTCCACACACAAGGCATCCACAGATTTTTAATTGTTTATTCCTTCCAGTTGCTCAGAGATTACTTCAAAGATTTTTCACTTAGCAGGTTGCTGACATTAGTGGCAAACTATATATAGAGAGAAGACCATCTACAAATAAGCACATCTGCAGAGGAAGCGTCTCAGAGCCATTTAAGTTCTTAATCTCTCTCTCTCTCTTTCTCAGTATCTAGGTATATACTATTTCTTCCACCAAAAGATTTTGTAGATGCTTATAAGAATAAATATGAATAATTGAGGATATTAAAGAAAAAAATAAGGATAGGAGAAAACAACATACAAAAATGTGTACTGTATAGTCTACACAATGACTAAATTTTGTTCTGAGATTCTTAATAGTCAAAGGAAAGAGGAAATCACAATTCATTGTAAGTTTCACAATATTTGTCAGAAAAATTAAACAGATGTCTGGGAAAAGAATGCCTTTTCCTCATACTGGGATCTGGCTGAAATTTCTTCTTAAATCCTACTATCAAGGCTATGATACATCATATAAGAGAAGATAAAATAATGAATTTCACATGGCTCTTTTTACAATAACCTTCATCTGGGGCTGTGTGTGTGTTTGTGCATGTGCATATGTCATTTGACCTTTCTAAAATGCCTTCAGGACTGCCACTTTTACTGAGTCTCAGACCCTAGACTATCCTTTCCTTTCCCTTGAGGTTCCTTCAGGTGATAAATTTCTTGCATCATTTCATCACCTGTTATCAATTTTTGTTTCTAATTTTCTCCTTAGTCTCTTGTCTTCTTCCTAATGATTTTATCATCTACATCCTAAGAATATTCCTCTTCCACTGCCCATTTTCCAAACCCTGCTGCAAGCACTCTTAGAAGGGAAGAAAAACACAAAAATGCAAGTATTTCTTTTATAAAACCTGTGAAGTCATATTGAAATCCTCACTTTGAAACTTGTGTACCTAAGTACCGGTGATAGCTTCCTTACCTCATGACTGCTATTCTGAAAGGAAGCTCAACACACAGCATAGGTGGTGGGACTGTTTAACAGAATTCACCGAAACCAGATCAGCAAGCATGACTTCTGTGGCCATCTGCAGGGACATGGGAATCCATTGCTGATTCAGAGCCCCGTGTTAAAATGTCGAGCACAGGGTTATGTGTGCCAAAGATATGCAGATTGAAAAGCCCATAGGAATTATGCTTTGTTGATCTGGCTGAAACAGAGACTCTACAAACAGCAACCTCCAGCCCCTGTTCACCTGGCAACCACTAGCCCTGTGAAAACTACAGCAAAGAAAGAAGGGACAATCTCAAGGTCCTTTGGTTCACCCCGCCTACAGGCTGCTCTTATAATTCTTCCCAAACCTCACAGCTATTCCTGCCAGAAAACCACTAGAAACACTCACAGAAATCTCAAAAAGTGATTATAAAAAGTTCAAGATTTCCTTTTGCTGGGTAGCGATGGCTTATGCCTGGAATCCCAGCCCTTTGGGAGGCCAAGGCAGGCAGATCACTTGAGTCCAGGAGTTCAGGAGCAGCCCAGGCAACATGGTGAAACCCTGTCTCTACAACAATGAAAAACAAACTTCAAGATGTCAGCAGGAAGGGAATTAGGTTGAGAAAATCTTGAAATGTCAATGGGGTCTTCAAGTAGGCTTGTCTAACTTCTGTACAGATGAAGAAGTTGTGCCCAGTGAGCTGAAACCACTTGCCTAACTAGTCAATAGTAGTGCTGGGTCATGAGCCTGACCAGGTGTTCAGTCACAGGGGATAATCCTTTGTCCTGTAACATTTAAGGCATTTCTTTTGATTGTAGACGGGCTAACCCTCAGCCTCTTTTTATGTCTAACTCCTGAAGATTAGGAACATCTGAATTCTGAAAGCATTCCACTTACATTCACATGAATTATAATGCTTATTAATAAATTCTTTTTTATTTGTCATCATGAAGAATAAATAAGCTATGGCTGTGCATGTTTTTACAAAGGTATGTGTTCAACAAAGGCATGGAGACCTAAAAGCAGCATGCGGCACCATTGCTGGGAAATGGAAATTAGGAGTATTAAGGTGTATAGAGAAGAATATAGAGTCATATAGGAGCTGCAAGTTCTTATTGTCATGATTTTCAATACTGTTGACCCTCTCTGGCATGCTGCACCTTAAGAAGGATCTGTACATTTGGAGAAATGAGATATAAATAGATGATGACAGAAACCGAGAACGGAGGCTGTTTGAGCTGATTAAGAACTCAGACCTTTCAGTCACATTGCCTGGGACTGAATTTTGACACCACCACTTACTATTTCTGTCACCTAGGTAGGTAGCTGAATCTCACTAGGCCTCAGTTTTGTCATCTGAAACTGGGAATGACAATACTACTTGATAGGGTTTTTGTGAGGATTATGTGAAAGATATATATAAATTAAGAAAAATGCACAGCACTTTCTAAGTGCCAATATAAATGTTGGCTATTGTGATTAATGTGTGCCTCACACCCTTAAAATGCCAAGTTAAGCCTCTGAGGGTGATAGGGTTTGGCTGGGCCTGCAACCAAAATCTCATCTTGAATGATAATCCCCAGGTGTCAAGGGAGAGACCAGGTGGAGGTAATTGAATCCTAGGGGCGGTTTCTCCCATGCTGGGCTCATGATAATGAGTTCTCGTGAGATCTGAGGGTTTTATAAGTGGGTGGTAGTTCCTCCCGTGTTCATTCGCCTTTCTGCCACCTTGTGAAGAAGGTGCTTTTCTTCCCCTTCGCCATCCACCGTGATTGTGAGTTTCCTGAGGCCTCCCCATCTACACTGAACTGTGAGGTAATTAAACCCCTTTCCTTTGTGAGTTACCCAGTCTCAGGCAGTTCTTATAAGAGTGTGAAAACAGACTAATGCAGGCGGCTCCAGCACTTGGGTGTGGACACTCTTGGCAGCAGTCACCATGTCAGAAGTACCCCTCAGTCGTCTCCTCTCCCTTACTTCAAAGAGCTATTTTCTGTGTCCTTCAACCCCAGTAGCCTCGTTAAAGACATGCCTGGAAGATAATCCAACCCCACAGGGATGGCGGGGCGGGAAAAAGCTAAGCATAAGAAAGTAAAATACCTGAGAAAAGATAATAGTTACCAGGATTAACCGCACATACACAAGTTCGTATGTGGATGCCCCAAATCACAGAAGGATAGGAAATCAGTTATTCTTCCCTGGGAAAGATGCAGACAGGCCTCAGCCTTACCAACCCCCGACTCACAACACCCTTTATCTGCTCCAGCTGCCTCAGCCCAGCCCAGACCTTCCTGCAGTCTCACTCCCCGGCTTTGCTGGGAATACCTGGGATTCTGTCTTTCTTTCTTTCTGCTTCTTTGGCCAACACCTCAGACCCATCTTGCTTCGCTTCTGTGGTTTGCAACAAAGAAGGCCATTTTCCCACTGCCTGCACAACATTCACCTTAGGCTTGTTTCTCACTTAAATCCCAACTTGAAACTTGGATATCGTTTTTACAGAGAAGCTCCATTTGTATTGGTGACTTTGTTCTACGATACTAACTTAGTAAATGCAAGCCAGACAGCAATAATGTTAGCGTTATTTAAGATGCTAATATTTATTGAGAGCCTATGTTTAAGCAAACACTGCCCTAAATTCTTTCCATATATTAAATGATTTAATCTTAACAGTTCCATTTTATTCTCACAACCAGCAGGGCCAGAATTTGAATTCAGGCAGGCTGGTTCCAAAACCAACAAACTGCTCTGATATAATCGGAGAATGCTTATAGTTAAGGAGGGTGCTAGGTTAATTAAAAGCAAGAATTTTCCAGAAGAGAGCATTAAAAACACAAGATTTTATGAGAGATAACAGCTGTAGCAAGTCCTTTGGAAAGGACATAGATTTACTTCTATCTTAAAAATTTTTAATTTAGTCTTGTTTATCACTTGGTGATTCATGTTCAAGAGATTCTGTTAAATTTGCAGGAGGCAAACGAACCCTTACAAAGAAAATATTTAATCAGGTTAACAAATACCTGTTGATTATCCAATATAAAATTTTTATCAGGGAAATTAGACAAGTCTGTCTATTTATGGTTTCTAACTGAAGGATACGTGGAAGCCCTTTAGGAGTAGGATAAAAACCTTTCTTCTATTTTTACTCCTTGGTCCTCTCCTTAAGACATACAACCTAAGTTTGACAAGGTAGGTTTTTTGCTGATAAACCACATCTTCAATCTTTGGTTAACATTATTTAGTTCCTAAATGACTCTTAACATTCCACGTTATCCGTTCTTGTAAACTTACAGGAAATTATCTTCTAAGAGAATCAGGCACAAAATTGCATAACATTCACTATGTCATCGAATAGACAAAAGCTACTAGCTTCCTGCTCGAAATGAACTTATTTCATTACAAACAATTGTCAATTTTATTTTGAGCATTAGTCTCTGGAAGATTGCTTTTTAATGGAATTATTACCAGCTGACGTTAGTTCTTTTTGCATTATGAAATAAAAACTGAAGCCAAGAAACATGGCATCCCCTCTCTCCCAGCTTACATCATCTCTGAGCTGCAGAAACAGGTTCCAGAAAAGCCTTACGATTTTTCTTTCCAGACACTATTTTTTAAAATGCTTGTGATTTTTCACTGGAACATGCTTGACTTAACTCAGAACTTAAAAGGAATATGGAAAACACCATTTATCTTGCTAAATTAAAATCAGAAGTTCTGTGTCCAAATTTACATGTTGTATTTTACTAAGTACTAATACTCACCAATTGAATCCTTTTGCTCTTAAAACAACAAGTAGTAGGACATGGAGAATGTGGAAATGGCCCCAGAAGAAAGCCCCTCTAGAGGAGCAGCTGGGCTGAGGTAGCCTAGAGAAGAGGAAGCAGGAAAGGAAAAGTGCAAGGAATGAAACCTTGGTCTTCCTGTGTTTAATGAGTGTACTTTACCTAGCCAGGCGCTGTGCTGAGTGCTTTCCAATTGTTACCTTATTTGATCTTCATCATCCTTCTGTGAGATGAGCACTGTCTTTTTGCCAATTAATAGACCCAGAGAGGTTGAGTGTTTTGATGAGGTAGGTCACACAGCAAACAGGTGACATTTAACATTAAACCCAGGGTGACTGCAGCAGGTGTATATGAAGCTGTTGTATAAGAGGACGTAAGTTTTTGTTTTCCAGTGTTACCGAGAGCAGTTTCCAGAAGGATGGAGCTAAATACAACAGAAACGATTTTTTTTTTCACTTTTTATTATGAAATACCATTGGGAAAAGAGCATAAAATATGTAATCCCATATCTTGATGATTTTTTTTTTTTTTGAGAAAAAGCCTTGTTCTGTTGCCCAGGCCAGAATGCAGCGGCACAATGCCAGCTCACTGCAACCTCAGCCTCCCAGGTTCTAACAATTTTTGTGCCTCAGCCTCCCAAGTAGCTGGGATTACAGGCACCCGCCACCATGCCAACTAATTGTTGTATTTTTAATAGAGATGGGGTTTTACCACGTTGGCTAGGCTAGTCTTGAACTTCTGGCCTCAAGAGATCCACCTGTCTTGGCCTCCCAAAGTGCTGGGATTACAGGTGTGAGCCACTGTGCCAGGCCAGATCTTGGTTTCTCATAAAGGGAGGCAAGGTTTCTCCTAGAATGGCTGATTCTAGGACTGGGACAGAAAACACACAAGATGAGCCTGGAGCATCTTGTTGTAGTAAGGAAGTGCTCAAAAGAAAACACACACGGTGATGGGAATATGTGAAAAGAATACAAGAGCTAACAGGAAGAGCTCCCAATGGCCACAGCAACAAAATAATTAAAGTGGCATCATGTTATAAATCACCCAAAGTATTAATATTCATGAGCTCATACAAAAGTAAATGATATGTGTAAACAATAAATTAACAAATGGGGGAGAAGAGATACATCTTTTGTGCAAAAGAATTTCAAATAAGTAGACTCTTCATCCTCAAGGAGGTGCAACATAACTTCTCACTCCTTAAGAGTGACCTGGGCATGGTGACTTTTTTCCAAAGAGTAGAGTATGAAAAGGAGTTAAAAGTAATAATAGTAACTATACAGCGGCACATGACACACAGGGCCTCAGCCAGGTGATCAATGTCAATATCAGCAGGGAGAAGTCATGTTGGTAGTGGGTTCCCTCAGTATGATGTGATAAGAATTACACTTTACCTCTATGGTCTTCCTTCCCCAAATCCATAACCTGCATCTACTTACGGGAAAAGTATCAGGCAAATCCTAATTGAGGCACCTTCCGCAAAATATGTGAGCAGTACTCCTCCAAACTGTCAAGAGCAACTAAAACAAGGAGAAACTGTCATAGTCAAGAGGAGCCTAAAGAAACCTCACAAGTAAATGTAATGGGAGATCCTGGAAGAGAAAAAGGACACTAGGTAAAAACTAAGAAAATCTGAATAAACTATGACCCTTAGAAATAATGTGTTAGCAAGAGCAGAAAATCAAACACCGTATATTCTCGCTCATAGGCGGGTGTTGAACAATGAGAACACATGGACACAGGGAGGGGAGCACTACACACTGGGGTCTGTTGGGGGGAAATGGGGGAGGGGCGGGGGGTGGGGAGGTGGGAAGAGATAGCATGGGGAGAAATGACAGATACAGGTGAGGGGACGGAAGGCAGCAAAGCACACTGCCATGTGTGTACCTATGCAACAATCTTGCATGTTCATCACATGTACCCCAAAACCTAAAATGCAATAAAAAAAAAAAAGAAAAAAAAAAAAAAAGAAATAATGTGTTAGGATTTGTTCATGAATTATGACACATATATCAGACTAATGTAAGATATTAATAGGGAAAACTTTGTGTAAGGTATACTGTCTTTGCAATTTTCTATAAATCTAAAACTATTCTAAAATAAACCATTTATCAGAAAATATATTTGAATAATCATCAAGTGAAGGACTATAACTAGCACCCAGGGTTAGAATATTGCCACCATCTCTAAACTTCTTATTTCCCTTCCCAATTATGTTACCAGCTTTCCCCTAGAAAAAACTATTACAAGTTTTAAAACATCCTGTTTTTCTTTGGAGTTTTTCTACCAATATGCATTCCTAAATAGTACATTATAGTTTTGCCTGGTTTTGAAACTGACATTTACTTAAATGTATGTATTTCTGTGTCACAAATACATGCCATATGCATTCTTGTGTATTTTGCTTAAACTTTGTGGTGTTCTATGTAGTTGTTGCTTACTCATTTTCGTTGCTGTACAGAATTACATTGCATGAATACACCAAATTCTATGTATTTAGATACAAAATCAACTTTATTGTTGCTGGACTTTTGGCTGTTTCTGGTATGGGGCACTGAAATGGATTTTCTGACCATCAGATTTGTGAGACACTAAAATTCAATATTTCTTTTTTTAAGAAAGAATATCCGCTATGTGGGGCAAGGAGGTAGGACCTGCTGTTTGAAAGCCAGAATGATAATCTTATTCAGGGGCCAGTCTAAACTGAGGAGCATCACCAAGCTCCATGCTACTGTCTGTCGTTGCCTCATCAAGAGGGAGTAGGTGGCCCAAGTGTCTCCTGAGCATGAGAGTCGTCTTTCCCAGAGACATATGGAACAGCCTATACACCAGCTCCTTCACAATTTTACCCACCACTTTGCTAGTAATGTCTGTGTACCAAACAGCAGAGACCTTTACCTTACAATTTCTTATGCTTTGTAAAGAATGAGACTCTTGGGCAGGTTTCTGCCAAGGTGGCCATGTAGAAAAGAAGCAATCCCTTGCCTTCCCTGCTCCCTGATCCTCCTGGCTCAAATAATCCAGATTCCTGATTCAGTGGAGGGAACGTGCTAAATTTTCTATGCAGACTAGCTATTTCTGTGTACACCTACACACACGCACACAGAGAGTAAAAAATCTAAGGCTGAGTCCAGGAAAACTGTCTTGCTTATCTGGCCACCATTACCATATTTTCCAAGGAATGTCCTTTTAATTTTTTATTTATTTTTTATTTTTTGAGACAAGGTCTTGCTCTGTTGCCCAAGCTGGAGTGCAACGGTGCCATCTTAGCTCAGTGTAGACTCCACCTCCTGGGCTCTGACAATCCTCTCACCTGAGCTTCTTGAATAGCTGGGACTATAGGCATGCCACCATATTCATCTAACATTTGTATTTTTTGTAGAGATGGGTTTTCACCATGTTGCCCAGTCTGGACTCAAACTTCTGGGCTCAAGAAATCTTCCTACTTTCCAAGGAGTACCTTTGAACTAATTGTATTTTATTTTTAACAGAGACACGTCTCAAGCCAGCCTATTAAGTCTTGTTTTTTCCTATTTTAGCCCCAGTATATTCAGATCATGACTTTTGTTTATGATTTAATTGAAGGCAAACAAGCCTAACAATGAAGATCCCAGGCTATAAAGTTAGATCAAAATCTCACCTTGGCTTGGCCTCTTCTGAGATGAATTACCTCGAGCAAATTACTTGCCCTTTCTGAATCTCAGTTTCCTCATAGGTAGAAAAAGAATAATAAAACTTATCTTGCACATATACTGGATTTAGTATAAAAACATGCATAAAGTATTGAACACAGTTCCTGACACAAGCAGGAAAACTAATATATAATGAAGATTATTATTGTTAAGAATAAAAATACAGTAAGTCATCTAGTAGTTGCTTTCTTATGCTTATGGTCAGATACCTTGCTAAAGATAATATAGTTATAAAGAATATTATAATACAGTTATAAAAAGTTACTCAAATTTTCCTTTTTTGAGATGGCGTCTCACTCTGTAGCTCAGACTGGAGTGCAATGGCACAATCTCGGCTCACTGCAACCTCTACCTCCCAGGTTCATGCAATTCTCCTGCCTCAGCCTCTCAGGTAGCTGGGACTACAGGCATACGCCACCATGCCTGGCTGATTTTTGTATTTTTAGTAGAGATGGGGTTTCACGCTGTTGGCCAGGCTGGTCTTGAACTTCTGGCCTCAAGTGTTCCACCCTCCTGAGCTGCCCAAAGTGCTGGGATTGCAGGCATGAGCCACCACACCCAGCCTCAGTTATTAAAAGTTACTGTGTGCTATTTAGTATTTTGTATTTCCTATGCTAATTTGAATTCACAGTGAGATGAAAAATAAAGTCCAATGTCAGTGAAAATGGCTTTGCGTCGTTCTCACTTTTAGTTATAAGACAAACCAAATAGGTGTCTCTTTTCTTCAGGTTTATAATTGGAGATTTGTTGGATTCAGACAGTGACATCTTTGAGCAATCCAAAGAATATGACTCTCATGGTTCAGAGGACTCACAGAAGGCCTTCGACCATGGGACGGAGCTCATCCCATGGTACGTGCTGTCCATCCAAGCCGACGTGCACCAGTTCCTGCTGCAGGGGGCCACGGTCATCCACTACGACCAGGACACACACCTCTCTGCTCGCTGCTTCCTCCAGCTTCAGCCCGACAACAGCACCTTGACCTGGGTAAAGCCCACAACTGCCTCCCTAGCCAGCACTAAAGCAAAACTTGGCGTACTTAATAACACAGCTGAGCCTGGAAAATTCCCACTCCTGGGCAATGCTGGGTTAAGTGGCCTGACAGAAGGGGTCTTGGATCTTTTTGCAGTGAAGGCTGTATACATGGGCCACCCTGGCATTGATATACACACTGTGTGTGTTCAGAACAAACTGGGTAACATGTTTCTGTCAGAGACTGGCGTGACACTGCTCTATGGGCTTCAGACCACAGACAATAGATTATTGCACTTCATGGCACCAAAGCACACAGCTAAAATGCTCTTCAGCGGATTGTTGGAACTCACTAGAGCTGTGAGAAAGATGAGGAAATTCCCTGACCAAAGACAGCAGTGGCTGCGGAAGCAGTACGTCAGCCTCTATCAGGTAAGGGGCGTAGCCGCCCATCTTTCCTCAGTAGCATAATACTCTAGAGCACACACTTGGCAACCAGACCACCAGGTTTGTGCTCCTAGCTCTGCCGGTTACTACCTGTAGTGACCTTGGGCAGCTTTTACTTAACCTCTTGGTACCCTAATCCCCTTTTCTATAAAATGGAAATGATAACAGTACCTGCTTCAGAGGTGGCTGTGAGAATTAACTGAGGCAGTGGCTCACGCCTATAATCCCAGCACTTTGGGAGGCCAAGATGGGCAGATCACCTGAGGTCAGGAGTTTAAGACCAGCCTGGCCAACATGATGAAACTCCATCTCTACTAAAATTACAAAAATGTGCTGGGCATGATGGTACATGCCTATAATCCTAGCTACTCAGTAGATTGAAGCAGGAGAATTGTTGGAAACCGGGAGGCAGAGGTTGCAGTAAGCCAAGATTGCACCACTGCATTCCACCCTGGGCGACAGAATGAGACTCTGTCACAGAAAAAAAAAAAAAATGAGTTAATATGTGTAAAGCCATAGTATAATTCATATGTATAAAGAATAGTGTCTGCACTCATAGGAGGTCCTATTTGTATTTTGTGTGAAATACATTTTACTTAGTTTTTACAGTAAGTGAAAATGCTTCTGTTAATTGATTTCCTTGCAGATATGAGAACTACAATGACCCTGGTCACTATTTGTATTTTGTATTATTTTTATGTATTACATAAAAATAGTGACTAATGTCATGGTAGTTCTCACATCTGCAAAGAAACCAGTTAATTTAAGCATTTTCACTTAAGGTTCAGTGGAAATCATTGTTATCTGAATATTTTTATAATTAGTGACTAGCTGATATATAGAAAGCCATCCCTACTGAAACTGAAATCCTGGATCATTTCTTAACATGCTATGTAACTTTTGGAGAGTTTTTTAATTTACTGCATATTCCTGCCTAATTGTAGAGGTTAGGGGTTAATTTCTTTAAGGTTGAGAAAAGCTTTCCCAAATGTGGGATCATTCTTATGTGGAGTTCTTCCTCACTAGGTTTGTAGTGACAGCAGCCCTTATTGGGCAGGTTTTCCATGGTCAGCTGCTTACATTGAGTGAGTTCGTCTTTCATTAACCCTACGTTATCAAGTACTCTAACACAATAGTTTTAGGGTGGCAGCAGGGCTGGGCTGAATGAGATAGAAGAGACACGGGCATAACCAGAGTAGCATCCTTTGGGGGAAAGAGGGTACAGATTGCTTGGAAATTGAGTCTTAAATTCTGCAGCCAGGTGACACTTGAAGTGTCATTGCTAAATGAGTTGTATCAAAGTATTCAGTTCTTCTTTGCTATGCTTTTCTATCTTCATGGCAAAAAGAAATATCTTCTGTATTATTGTCATAGAACAAGTAGAACTAGTACTTGAACTACTCAAATGGCTGATTTCATGTACTTTTCACAGTTCTAATATGTTTCTGACAATTAAAAACATTTGTCACCCTGGGAAGTTGGACAAGGCACAAGTAATGCCCCTTCTTTGTTCTTTCCCCACACCCATGACATGACTATGAGTAAAGACAATATCCTGAGTGACTAACCTGATTAATTGATTAATAATAAGCAGATAGGCCTGTGTACACAATTATCCTAATGTCACACAGCACAAAGACAGTTTTAACTTTCCTAAAATGGAAAACAAAACACCTTGCTCTGGCTCACACCTGTAATCCCGCACTTTGGGAGGCGGAGGTGGGTGGATCACCTGAGGTCAGGAGTTAGAGACCAGCCTGGCCAACATGGCAAACCCCAACCTCTACTAAAAATACAAAAAAATTAGGCAGGCTCCTGTACTCCCAAGTATTCGGGAGGCTAAGGCAGGAGAATTGTTTGAGCCTAGGAGGTGGAGGTTGCAGTGAGCCAAGATCGTGCCATTGCACTGTAGCCTAGGTGACAGAGAGAAACTCTGTCTCGAAGGAAGAAAGGAGGTAGGGAGGGAGAGAGGGAGGGAAAGACCTGCTTCCTTTGTACTCCACAGGGAGTTTTCAGTGTACTCAGCTAGAAAAAAAAAAAAAAAAAAAGTCTTCAGGAGCTATTGTGAATGTCAGTTTTTAATGATGATTATTCCTCAGCCTTCTAGAATCAGGAAAATCCACACATGGACATACACCAGTGTTTGAGCTCAATTACAATCCCCGTCACAAAGTCTGTGTGGTTTAGTTGTTCCACGTGTCTCCTTCTCAAGCTTATAGCATAGGTAACTGAATTAATACATAAGAGGCACTTGGTTTCCCATTTACCCTAGCACTCTTCAGCTTTTATTGAAGGAGGCACCAGCTGAGACCATGAACAGCAGATGAAGAGGTAAGAGTTGCTGCTGGAACAGAGACAGAAGGGACCTAGAGAAGACTCAATACTGTCCAGCTGCAAACACAGCTCCACCCTCCCCTGCCACTGCTGCACAGAACCAAGATATTGCAGTGTAAAGGCGAAACAGCTCATATTCCTCAACCACTTCTGAAATATAGGTGACATTCTTTCTCGACATTGCTCCCTCTACATGAACCATTTATGAAGTCAGGCAATGTGCCTTAGAAACAGACACTCAAGATTTCTTTCAAGAGAAAAAAGTGGGAAAGACCAATGGACTGATCCTTTTCTCATCATATAACCCAGTTCCCAAATTGACTCGGAGATTACCAAAAAGATGCTAACTTAGTACTCGGAGAACAAAAGGTCAAATCTTTTGTTAATGTTAAATGCTCTCTTGGTGATTTATAATACCTGTTAGAAAATTAAATTTTCTCAGATGCCCTAAAGTTAAAAAAAAAATACATTTAAACATTTAAATTTATCTATAAGCTAAAAATTTTGTGAAAAACTGTTTGGGTTTTTCCAAACTTCTATTAACAGCTCTATAAGAGCATTTTTAAATCACTTGTTTAGGAAGTGCTTATATAGAAAATAATCTGTCTGACCTTAGAATTTTTTATGTAGTAAATGTAAGTGAAGTTACTTTCTTTTTTTTTTTTTTAATTATACTTTAAGTTCTGGGGTACATGTGCAGAATGTGCAGGTTTGTTAGACATAGGTATATACGTGCCATGATGGTTTGCTGCATCCATCACCCCATCATCTACATTAGGTATTTCTCCTAATACTATCCCTCCTCTAACCCCCGACCCCGACAGGCCCTGGTGTGTGAGGTTCCCCTCCCTTTGTCTATGTGTTCTCACTGTTCAGCACCCACTTATGAATCATAACATGCAGTCTTTGGTTTTCAGTTCTTGGGACAGTTTGCTGAGAATGATGGTTTCATACTTGGCAAACTGACACAAGCTTTATCCATGTCCTTGCAAAGGATGTGAACTCATCTTTTTTATGGCTGCATAGTATTCCATGGTGTATATGTGCCACATTTTCTTTATCCAATCTATGAACATTTGGGTTGGTTACACATCTTTGCTATTGTGAACAGTGCCACAATAAATGTGTGTGCATGTGTCTTTATAATAGAATGATTTATAATCCTTTGGATATATACCAAGTATTGGGATCGCTGGACCAAATGGTATTTCTATTTCTAGATCCTTGAGGAATCACCATTCTATCTTCCATAATGGTTGAACTAATTTGTACTCCCACCAATAGTGTAAAAGCATTCCTATTTCTCCACATCCTCTCAAGCATCTGTTGTCTCCTGATTTTTTAATGATTACCATTCTAACTGGCATGAGATGGTATCTCACTGTAGTGTTGATTTGCATTTCTCTAATGACCAGTGATGATGAACATTTTTTCATGTTTGTTGGCTGCATAAATGTCTTCTTTTGAGAAGTGTCTGTTCATGTCCTTCACCCACTTTTTGGTGGGATTGGTTTTTTTCCTGTAAATTTGTTTAAGTTCTTTGTAGATTCTGGATATTAGCTCTTTGTCAGATGAGTAGATTGCAAAAAGTTTTTCCCATTCTCTTGGTTGCTGGTTCACTCTAATGATAGTTTCTTTTGCTGTACAGAAGCTCTTTAATTAGATCCCATTTGTCTTCTTTGGCTTTCGTTGCCATTGCATTTGGTGTTTTAGTCATGAAGTCCTTGCCTATCTCTGTGTCCTGAATGGTATTGCCTAGGTTTTCTTCTAGGGTTTTATGATGTTAGGTTTTATGTTTAAATCTTTAATCCATCTGGAGTTAATTTTTGTATAAGGTGTAAGGAAGGGATCTAGTTTCAGCTTTCTGCATATAGCTAGCCAGTTTTCCCACCCCCTTTTATTAAACAGGGAATCCTTTGAATCCTTTCCCCATTGCTTGTTTTTGTCAGATTTGTCAAAATCAGATGGTTGTAAATATGTGGCATTATTTCTGAGGCCTCTGTTCTGTTCCATTGGTTTATCTCTTTTTGGTACTGGCACCATGCTCTTTTGATTACTGTAGGCTGGTAATCTAGTTTGAAATCAGGTAGCATGATGCCTCCAGCTTTTTGTTTGTTTGTTTGTTTTGTTTCATTTTGTTTTTGCTTAGGAGTGTCTTGGCTATGTGGGCTCTTTTTTGGTTCCATATGAAGTTTAAGGTGTTTTTTTTTTTCAGTTCTGTGAAGAAAGTCCGTGGTAGTTTGATGGGGATAGCATTGAATCTATAAATTACTTGGGCAGTATGGCCGTTTTCACAGTATTGATTTTTCCTAACCATAAGCATGAAATGTTTTTGCATCTGTTGTGTCCCCTCTTATTTCCTTGAGAAGTGGTTTGTAGTTCTCCTTGAAGAGGCCCTTCACATCCTTGTTGTATTCCTAGGTATTTTATTTTTGTGGCAATTGTGAATGGGAGTTCACTCATGATTTGGCTCTCTGTCTGTTATTGGTGTATAGAAATGCTTGTGATTTTTGCACATGATTTTGTTTCCTGAGACTTTGCTGAAGTTGCTTATCAGCTTAAGAAGATTTTGGGCTGAGACAATGGGGTCTTCTAAATATACAATCATGTCATCTGCAAATAGAGACAATTTGACTTCCTCCTTTCCTAACTGAATACGCTTTATTTCTTTTTCTTGCCTGGTTCCCCCGGCCAGAACTTCTAATACTATGTTGAATAGGAGTGGTGAGAGAGGGTATCCTTGTCTTGTGCCTGTTTTCAGAGTGAATGCTTCTGGTTTTGCCCATTCAGTAGGATATTGGCTGTGTGTTTGTCATAAATAGCTCTTATTTTGAGATACATTCCATCAATACCAAGTTTTTTGAGAGTTTTTAGCATAAAGAGCTGTTGAATTTCGTTGAAGGCCTTCTCTCCATCAATTGAGATAATCATGTGGTTTTTGTCTTTGGTTCTGTTTATGTGATGGATTACGTTTATAGATTTGCATATGTTGAACCAGCCTTGCTTCATCAACCAGAGATGAAGCCAACTTGATCATGATGAATAAACTTTTTGATGTGCTGTTGGATTCAGTTTGCCAGTATTTTATTGAGGATTTTTGCATCAGTGTTCATCACGGATATTGGCCTGAAATTTTCTTTTTTGGTTGTGTCTCTGCCAGGTTTTGGTATCAGGATGATTTTGGTCTCATAAAATGAGTTAGGGAGGAGACCCTCTTTTTCTATTGTTTGGAATAGTTTCAGAAGGAATGGTACCAGCTGCTCTTTGTACCTCTGGTAGAATTTGGCTGTGAACCTGTCTGATCCTGGACTTATTTATAAGTCCCTGACAGGCTGCTGCCTTTTTAAAGAGATACCCTGCTTAGCAAGAAGGAAGTCTAGTGACAGTCTGCTGGCAGAGGCCTTGCTGAGCTGCCATGGGCTCTACCCAATTGCTGTGTAAACTTGGCCAGTGACTGCTTACACAGGCAAGGTTAAAACCGCCTACCCAAGCCTCAGCAATGGGAGACACCCCTCCCCCCACCAAACTCAAACCTTCCAGGTTGAGGTCAGACTGCTGTGCTGGCTGCAAGAATTTCAAGCCAGTGGATCTTAGCTTTCTGGTCTTCATGGGGGTAAGACCTGCCAAGCCAGATCACTTGGCTCCCTGGCTTCAGCCCACTTTTTTAGGGGAATGAGCGGTTCTGTCTCACTGCTGTTCTAGGTACCAGTGGGTTATGAGAGAAAAAAAAATGTCGTGGCTAAAACGGCCGACCAGGTTTGTGCTGGAAACCTGGGGCACTGGTGTTGTAGGCACCGAAGGGAATCTCCTGGTCTACAGGTTGTGAAGACTGTGGGAAAAGCACAGTATCTTATCCAGAGTGCTGGGGTGTCAGTATAAGTCCCTAATGGCTTCACTTGGCTAGAAGAGGGAGTTCTCAGGCCTCTTACACTTCCCGGGTGAGGTGACACCCCACACTGCTTTGGCTTGCCCTCCTTGGGCTGTACCCACTGTCTAACCAGTCCCAATGAGATGAACCTGGTACCTCAGTTGGAAATGCAGAGATCATTCACCTTGTGAGTCAACATCTCCGCAAAGTTTACTTTCTTGGATTTTTCTGTATTTTTCCTAGGCTTCACTACAAATGTTATTACTTCTTGTCTTTTGTGTTAACTCTTGTTACTACTTCCATCAGGAAAATCCAAGAAAGTAAACTGTGCAGAGATGTTGATCATGGACAGAACTGATGGCCCATAACCCTGGGTATTAGGAAGGAGCTCTGGGAGGCTAAGAAGGCTAAATATGGGATTAATAGGTAACTATCTTTGGTTATAAGCAAACAGATTCTGGCTATCTTCAAGGGAAAAAAGAGATTTCTTCAAAGGATATAGATTGTTTTAATGGTCTTCAAAATGTCACATTCAAAGATATGCCAAGAGGTAACAGTGCATGGATATTTTTTAAGGAATCTATTTTCTATTCTTCAACTTTCACATCAACGGTTTTCTAAAACTGAAAATGTGCCTTCACTCCTGGTAGTCCATCTCCCACATTATAAAAAGAAGGTAGGCCGAGTGCAGTGGCTCATGGCTGTAATTCAAGCACTTTGGGAGGCCAAGGAAGGTGGATCACTTGAGGCCAGGGGTTCGAGACCAGCCTGGCCAATGTGGTGAAACACCATCTCTACTAAAAATGCAAAAATTAGCTGGGTGTGATGGTATGCACCTGTAATTCCAGATACTTGGATGCTGAGGCAGGAGAATTGCTGGAACCTGGGAGGTGAAGTTTGCAGTGAGCCAAGATCATGCCACTGCACTCCAGCCTGGGCAACAGAGAGAGACTGTCTCCAAGAAAAAAAAAGTATATCCTTCATCCATCTCAAATAAGTGTATTATTTTGTGTAAAACAAAAGAAAGATTTAAACTACATTTTACTTCCCAGAAAGCTTCTTTTAAAGAAAAGACTAAACAAAGACATCCTTCCTTTTCCTTACCGAAACATATTTATGTTAGTGGTAAAGTTTGGCCCGGGTTGGGATGTTCTGTAATTAGAAAAATCGAAGCAGTAGAGGTTAATAGTGCCAATTCTTTTACATGTAAACTGTAATGGGTCTATTAAACTTTTAAAGATATGTTTTAAAATCCATAAATAAAAGTTTTACTCTTCTTTCCGATTCAGAATATGTTATTCAAAAAGGTAGTTAAAACCTATTCATTAGGTTTCATTCATGAAATGTTTATTCCAATTTGGAGTCACTCCTAGTGACTTGTTAGCAGGGAGTCTCTTCAGCAGGTGAACTGATCTCTAGCCATTTTCATTCTCTGTATCACTGCATTCATGAACCCTGCTCCAGGAAGGGGATTCTGAGTGGCTTATTGGGATCATGTATCAATCATTGATCAAAGGAGGATATTTCAGCTTGATTGACCTATCGAAACTGCATCCAGTGAAGAAGATACAGTTAAAGTAAAATTGGGGTATGGTTAGAGAAGGGAGAAATAGATCATGGACAGTCATGTCACAATGTCCCACTGTAAGAGGTCACCAAAAGATTTGTCAAGCACCCAAGTTATTCAGCACCCTGGGATCCACAACAGGATATAGGAAGTGGGAATGCACAAGTCATAAAATCAGATAGTTATTGAACATTAATTAGGCTGAAGGAGCAAGCACACACACACACAAAGCCCCTTGGTTCTTTGCATATGATCTGCAACAAAGCAAAATCTATTTATAAGCATTTCTTTGGAACTGCACAGGACAACCAGCCTTAAATGTTTTTGAAGGGTAAAGACAGTACATGGAAATTAATTTTTAAAGAGACCTCTTATACAATGTGTGAAATAGCAATATCATCTCTAGCTCATATGCACCTTTTTGTGGTTTTATTAATTCATTTTCCTGACTTATGGGGAGAATCATTGACAATTGTTTAATTAATAGATCCCTGCTGTTACTTACAGGATGTTACGCAGTGCTGCCTTGGAAACAGTGGTGACTGTGAACCATTGCCTGCCCCTTGAGTGTGTTGTTGCTGCTCACAGCATCCTAATATACATGGTGTTCTGAGTACCATGGACTCTCTATCTTTGGATTTCAGCCACTTAAGAGGATGGCAGCCCAACTATCTTAGGAGCTCCCCAGGGCCCTGCAAAAGGAAGTCCATGCATGCCGCATACCCCTTATTTCAAGGCAGATTGTCCCAAGCATCAAACTAAGTGAAAAACTACCTGGCAGTAATGGACAAATACAACTTGATTTTACTTAGATTCATAACTTGCCTTACCTTCTAAGACCTCCAAGGCCTTAATTTGCAAAGTAAGTCTTAATGAATTTTCCAACGGTAGTTATGGAATTTAACCTCTGTAAATGGGATGGGAAGTTTTTGCTCCCCAGTGGATGTATTAAAGCATGTCACTGGAACTCAGCAGGGATGTGACCAGGACAACAGGGGACGTGATTAAATTCCTGACAGTCTTGTGAGTTAATAAACAGAGCCACTTGGGTGGCCAGATGATTATTCTTCTGTGGCCGCCTGTGCTCTTCCACCTCCTGGAATTTTCTGGGAGCCATTAATATATTTACTTCCCTATTGCTTGGTGCTTCCTACCATGTTCACCATGTGGTTCTTTCACAGGAGGATGGACGGTATGAAGGCCCAACTTTGGCTCATGCTGTGGAGTTGTTTGGTGGCAGACGATGGAGTACTCGAAACCCCAGCCCTGGAACATCAGCAAAGAATGTTGAGAAGCCCAATATGCAGAGAAACAACACACTGGGCATAAGCACTACCAAGAAAAAGAAGAAAATCCTCATCAGGGTATAGTGTTTTGTTTATTAAGCATCGGACTCGTCTTCCAGGACCATTGTATGGTGAACATCACCATAAACCTCTTTAGGTTGTTTGGGTTGAGGACAAAGTCAGCATAAAACAGAAGATGCAGGGGCTTACCACACACCTCCTGGGTGCCAGGCTAGTGCCAAGAACACCAGGGAAAAGACAAGGTCCATAGAAGGACATAGACATGTAAACAAACACAGTGCAAGCTAAAAAGGGACATCATCGAGTCATCCACAAAGTGCTGTGGGAGCAGAGAGATGGAAAATAGAGAGCTGAGGGGCAGGCATGGGAGGCTCCACAGAGTGGCTGACATGCAGGTCTTAAAGAATGTGTAGGATTTTACCAGCCAAACAACATAGGAGAAAGTATCCCCAGCAGAGAAAACAGCATAAAGACATAAAAGATGGCTTGTTCAAGGAAGTACAGGCCGTTATGGGTGGCTAGAGCATGAGCACACCGTGGGCAAGGAAGGGCAGAAGAAAACGGAGATCACAGCGGCCCCAGATACTGTGTGTAGAACACAATGTAAAGTATATTAGCGCTATGTATTATAACTTACATTATACAGTATGAAATATCACTATGAAGTGGTAATATATTTGTTTCATGGCTATTTGTTAGTCTGTTTGTGTTGCTATAAAGAAATACCTGAGGCTGGGTAATTTATAAAGGAAAGAAGTTTAATTGGCTCACAGTTCTGCAGGTGTACAGGAAGCATGATGCCAGCATCTTCTTCTGGTGAGAACCTCAGGAAGCTTACAGTCATGGCAGAAGGTGAAGCGGGAGCCACCACATGACATGGAGAGAGTGGGAGCAAGAGAAGGGGAGAGGTGCCACACACTTTTTTTCTTTTAGAAACAGGGTTTTGGCCGGGCGTGGTGGCTCAAGTCTGTAATCCCAGCACTTTGGGAGGCCGAGGCATGTGGATCACGAGGTCGAGAGATCGAGAGCATCCTGGTCAACATGGTGAAACCCCGTCTCTACTAAAAATACAAAAAATTAGCTGGGCATGGTGGCGCGTGCCTGTAATCCCAAATACTCAGGAGGCTGAGGCGGGAGAATTGTCTGAACCCAGGAGGCGGAGGTTGCGGTGAGCCGAGATCGTGCCATTGCACTTTAGCCTGGGTAAAAAGAGCGAAACTCCATCTCAAAAAAAAAAAAAAAGAAACAGGGTTTTGCTGTGTCACCCAGGCTGGAATGCAGTGGTGTGATCATGTCTCACTGCAGCTGTGAATTCCTGGGCTCATGCTGTTCTCCTGCCTCAGCCTCCCAACTATCTGGGACCACGGGTGTGCATCACCATGCCTGGCTAATTTTTTTATTTTTTGTAGAGACAGGGTATCACTATGTTGCCCAGGCTGGTCTTGAACTCCTGGCCTTAAGCAATCCTCCTGCCTCAGCCTCCCAAAGTGCTGGGATTACAGGCATGAGCCACCATACCCAGCCTACACACTTTCAAATAGCTAGATCTTGTGTGAACTCAGCCAGAACTCACTCAACACCAAGAAAATGGTGCTCAGCCATTCTTGAGGGATTCACCCCCATGATCCAAACACCTCCCACCAGACCCCACCTCTAACATTGGGAATGATATTTCAACATGAAATTTGGAGGGGACATACATCCAAACCATATTATCTATCTAGAAAAAGTGCCATTCTTTGCTTACAGAGGCTTTGATGCTCATGTCAAACTTTATCTGCTTCATGGCTTTTTCTATACACAGAGGTTCCAGAGGTCATGTGCCTCCTCTTGCCTGCCTCCCTCCGCTGAGGAGTGCTGCTGTATAGTCAAGAACAAATGAGATAATATGGCATGAGAAATACTCAGACAGCCTTAAAGTAGGTCTTTACCGGTTTTACCAGGGAAAGGCAGTATCGAAGGTGGGTAGGTCGGAAAATAGAGACCTACCTGAACTAAAGCTGTAATGGGAGAGAAATATAGGCTTGGAACTATCTTGAGCTTTGTGTTTTCAGGGTGAAAGTGGAGAGGCAACTGACGACGAGATGGCAACCCGAAAGACCAAGATGCACAAAGAGTGTCGAAGCCGAAGTGGTTCTGATCCCCAAGACGTTAATGAACAAGAAGAATCGGGTAAAGCGGCATATCTGCATCTGAGATTTTTTTAAAATTTTTATGGGAAAAGAGCATACATTTGGCTTTAAATTGTGATTTTAATATTGCAAACATTTCTAACGAAAGTCTTTGTCCACACCAGACAATGAAACCTAAGAGTTGCTTCTGCGAGCATGGTGTACTTGGAATAAAATTCTCATTAATTAACTTGCGATTACTGTTGGGGAATACTAGATATACATTGTGCAATTTGATGGATTAGACCAGTGATTCTCAACTTTTGCTACATATTAGAGCTTTTGAGAGTATCTGGTTTCTCTGGCCACATCCAAGAATAACTGATTCAGATATTCTCTGGCTGGGACCTGGACGTCTATTTGTGTTTGAAGCTTCCCAGGTGGTTCTAACCTGTAGCCAGTTGAGACCCCATGAGATTAGCCCATTAATAAAAATATTTTGGTGGTGCTTGTGTAGAAAACAGCTGCACAGGTTGATTTGCTCAGACATCCAGAAGCCTCTCTGGTTTGTATCTGGTTCTGAGGGAGAGTATAATCTGAGTCATTGTCTCTTTTCTATCTGCCATCCTCACAGAGGCGAATGCCATCACCATCCCTCCAAACTCCCTCCCTTCTAGAAGAGCACACTCTCTGACCACAACTGGGTCCCCCAACTTGGCTGCTGGGACGACGTCATCTCCCATCAGGCCAGTGTCCTCCCCTGTGCTGCCTTCTTCAAACAAGAGCCCGTCCAGGTGGGGCCTTAACATGATAAAACAGAAGGACCCTTCACATGATTCCAGTCATGTGGAAGGGTATATCTTTATAGTTGTCTATGGAAAGACTGTCTCACATTTTGACGTACAGTTGAATTGAACACTGAAAAATCCTCAAATTTTAAATGATCCTAATTTTCCCAATTTTGTACTCCTACCTTCTTATATTACTTCAAAGATCAGTAGCAGTGATGAAACCCAGCCCATGATTCTCCAAATCTATACTATCCAGTATACTAGCCACTAACTAGATGTGGGTATTTAAATTCAAATTTAAATTAATTAAAATTTAAAATTCAATTCTTCAGTCACAGCAGTGACATTTCCAGTGCTCTCTATCTATACTCTTCGGGACACTAACCATCAGCCACAAGTAACTGATGGTTACTATCCTGAAGAGTATAGATAGAGACATTTCCTTTTATCATTGCAGAAAGTTATATTGGATAGCATTGCTCTAAATGAAGAAGAGAGAATAGATTATTTTAATGTTAACTATTTGGCACCTTTGCTAATTGATGAAATATATTTAAGTAAGTTACACATATGTAAGTTACACATGTCTAGAGGAACGAATTCAAGTATCACAGCAAGTTGGATATGTTTAAATATAATTCTGAAGCTGGTATTATAATTATTTTATAAGGTATATGCAAATTACATTTTTGAAACGATACCCTCTCAGAAGAAGAAATGATATTAAAATGGCAGACTTCCAAAGGGACAGAATGCCACTCCATCTCCCTGTATCCCACGTCAAAGTTTAAGAAATGTGTTTATCACAGACACACACACTCTCACACTCTCTCTCTCTCCCTCTCTCTCTCTCCCCCCGCCTCTTCCCCCTTCCCTTTCTCCCTCCTTCCTTCCCTTCTCCCTTCTCCCTTTCCCTCTCTCCCTCCCTTCCTCTTTCCCTTTTTCCCTCTCCCTCCCTCTCTCCCTCTCTCCCTCTCTCCCTCTCTCCCTCTCTCCCTCTCTCCCTCTCTCCCTCTCTCCCCCTCTCCCACCTCCCCCTCTCCCCCTCTCCCCCTCTCCCCCTCTCCCTCTCCCCCTCTCCCCCCTCCCCCTCTCTCCCTCCCCCCTCCTCCTCTCCCCTCTCCCCCTCTCCCCCTCTCCCCCTCTCCCCCTCTCCCCCTCTCCCCCTCTCCCCCTCTCCCCCTCTCCCCCTCTCCCCCTCTCCCCCTCTCCCCCTCTCCCCGATAAGAATCCTGGCTAGGCATGGTGGCTCTCATGTGTAATCCCAGCACTTTGGGAGGGTAGGGCAGGAGGATCATTTGAGCCCAGGAGTTCGAGACCAACCTGAGCAACAGAGACCCCATCTCTACAAAAAAACAGCACAATTAGCTGGGTGTGGTAGTTCTTACCTGTGGTCCCAGTTACTCAGGAAGCTGAGGTGGGAGTATCACTTGAGCCTGGAAGGTTCCAGCTGCAGTGAGCCATGATCATGCCATTACACTCCAGCCTAAGCAAAAGAGTGAGAGCTTGTTTCAAAAAAAAAAAAAAAAAAAAAAAAAGGAAAGGAAAAAATAATCTGACAGCAAATTATCTTTTAAATAAAATAATTATTTCACAATGTGAGCAATGAACTTATAATACATTCAGATTCTACGGTGGGTGAGCGTGGGTCAAGGTTATACGGGAATTCTCTGTACCACTCTTGCAACTCTTCTGTAAATTTAGATTCATAACAAAACTAAAAGTTAGAAAAATCAGAATCCTGTTTATTATACTTTCAGCCTGTGAAGTATCCTGGGTAAATAGCAAAGAACCTGGATTAAATGGCATTTCCTCTTTATTTCAGTCATTCATGAGCAGGAAAAGAAAGGACAGAGTAAGGGAGAAGAATATTTTAAAAGAGAAACTAACATGCAAGATCAGAAGGCCAACCCCAGGAGGACAGGGTCAGTACCCTCTCAAGTATTTTAAATCAGAAAGAAAACACAAGGCAGGAGAGGAAAAACCAGCTTGAATGCTGTTAAGGGAGGAATCTAGACTGAGTCCTAGATCTGGTAGTGAAAAGAGCAGACAAACAGAATTTCCTAGAGTCAAAGGGAGGTGGGTTCCCACAAACGGTTGCTGGGCCTGCAACCAGAAAGAAGCAAGACAGGAAATTTACTTGAGCTGCAAATGACAGGGTCACCTTTTTCTTCTCCCTGAACCTCTACCCTATGTTTCCTGCACCACACTGGGGATCAACAACCTGCAATGCCTAGAAAATGCTGTAAAGCTATCAATTAATAGTACTCTTCCATTGCTGAAGGTGATCTTCAGATGTCAGCACAAATTAATTTTCCATGAGTGAACCTTGTTAGCAGGGTTGAGAGTAACTTTAATAGACTATATTTTTTATATTTATAGTCTTAAGTATATAGCTTGTAGATTATATATTTAATATATATAAAATAGATTTTATTATGTTCTCTATACTTATATATTTGAAATATTTCAAAAAACCTTTTAAAATTTAAGACAAAAAAAAGTAGATCCTGTTCACTAATTTGACTACAAACCATAATCAAAACATCTCTCATACCATTGTGTCAGGAAATCAGCATAGATAATAAAAACTGTTGTGAAACAGACTAATTTCTAACTGAGTTGACTGATATTTCTACATTGAATAGATGCAGCCTTGGCAGGTGCAAATATCCTAGACAAAGCTCCCTTTTGTCCTTTTTTTTTTTTTTAATTTTTTAAAATTAAAGACAGTGCCTCACTATGTTGGCCAGGCTGGTCTTGCACTCCTGGGCTCAAGCAATCTTCCCACCTCAGCCTTCAGAGTGCTGAGATCACAGGCATAAGCCACCACACCCAGCCCTTTCTATTCTTAACGTTTTCTGACTCACATTTTCTATTAATTTTTAAAAGCTCTTCTCTGTTTTCATCTAAGAACTGATTAGGAAAGGAATCAGACAAGACATAGATACACTCAAAACTTTCTTCTTAAATGTGTTTCTATAACTTACAATACAGAAAAGAACATGCATTATTCTCCACAGATTAAGAGTGGTAATTTGGGGCTCTTTTAGAAAAAGACATCTTCAGAAACACTGAGTTATTTTGCCCATTAATCTGCAATTTCAAAGAACTATTTTGATTAATAAAGAAATATTAACCTCAGCCCTGGACCCTTATTAAATAGACTAGAAAAATCTTTTCTTTTTCTTATACAACATATTTTTTTTCCTGTGATACAATATATATTAGGAGAAGTAAAGAGTACCGGAAAATAGCTTCAACCTTAAATAACTTGCACTCACCCTTTGGCTCATATTGCTAATTGGAGAAAGCCTGGTGGGACAGAATCACAACGGTGGCCTGCCATTGTGCCCATGAAGGCCTTGTCTTTGTTGCAGTGCTTGGAGCAGTAGTAGCTGGCATGGGCGGATCAAAGGCGGCATGAAGGGATTTCAGAACTTCATGGTTTCCGACAGCAACATGAGTTTTGTTGAATTTGTTGAGCTGTTCAAATCATTCAGGTACAGTGTATGTTTCCTTTTCTTTCTTAGCCCCCCAACCCCCGGGTTCTATCAAGATACTCAGTGTGTGGTGTCTTCCATTCCTCATTCAGTGTCCGGAGCCGCAAGGACCTGAAGGATCTGTTTGATGTCTATGCAGTGCCCTGCAACCGATCTGGCTCTGAGTCAGCCCCACTCTACACCAACCTCACAATTGATGAAAACACCAGCGATCTTCAGCCTGACCTAGGTTTGTTGAACATTTTAAGATTTCCCTTTGGGACCTTTCTGTCTAAAACTTGAGGTCAGAGGTCCAATCATGCAAACTCTGAGCCTGTCCCACATGGTGTGCTATTACTGCCATGTAGGGAAACACTTAGATAATTATTTCAAAGTGTCATCTGGTGTTGTGGGAGCAGGTGCCACTGGCATTTTGAGCAAAGAAATTTATCACTGTGTGGTTCTGCCCATGTATTCCAGGATATTTAACCAATAAAGCTCTCCAGTCATTCTGACAACTAAATATCCTTTCCCAACTGTGTTAGTCCATTTTCATGCTGCTGATAAAAACAGACGAGACTGGGTAATTTGTAAGGAAAAAGAAGTTTAATGGGCCCACAGTTCCATATGGCTGGGGAGGCCTCACAATCATGGCAGAAGGTGAAAGGCACACCTCACATGGCAGTAGACAAGAGAAGAGAGGTTGTGTGGGGCATGCTCCACTTTATAAAACCATCAGATCTCATGAGACTTATTCACTATCATGAGAACATTTATGCATGAGAAAGCCTGCACCCATGATTCAAGTACTTCCCACCAGGTCCCTCCCACAACATGTGGGAATTGTGGGAGCTACAATTCAAGATGAGATTTCAGTGGGAACACAGCCAAACCATATCACTGACTATTTCCAAATGCCTGCTAGGTATGTGGTATGTGTCACAGTGGAGAACCCCCAGTCTCTTCCCTACCTACAGACAGATGGGTGCTCAGTCACAGGGCAGTAGTCTCCTGCCCTTTGATAAGGAGAGTCTTTAGTGTCTTCCTCAGGCTACTTCTGTCTGAATGATTGTCCAGGATATTTGGTGTAAACCAGAATGTCTCAGTCTCCTATCCCACTCGCCACCACCACCACCATTACTATCACCACCAATGCATTTTTCATAACCGCTAGTGCATTTTAAGCCTATCATTTTCCTCCTCTGTTCTTGCTGGAAACCATAAACACAAACAGCAAAAACAAAAAAAACTTTCCTCTTTTATGTAGTTGCTTCATAATTATTTATAAGCTTATGCTGTCCTTGAGCTAAGACTATTAACTATTGTTCAACTTTAGTCACAAAATCTGCATAACGTTGGATTAGTCAAATAGTTGCATTTTTCAAAAATTATTAGACTTTTTGTTTATATAATTTTTTTGTAGAGACAAGGTCTTGCTGTGTTGATCAGGCTACTCTCAAGGTCCTGGCCTCAAGCAATCTTCCTGCCTCAACTTCCCAAAGTGCAGGGATTTTAGGCATGAGCCTCTGTGCCTGGCCTAGACTTTATTTTTGGAGCAATTTTAGGTTTATGGGAAAATGAGTGGAAAGTACAGAATTCCCATATACTGTCTTCCACTCTCCCACACACTTCCTTCTGTTAGTAATAGCTGGCATTAGTGTGGTACATTTGATACAAATGAGTTAATATTGATCCATTATGATGAACGGAAGTCCACAGTTTACATTAGGATTCACTCTTTGTGTTATGCACTCTCCAGGTTTTGACAAATGTGTAATGACGTGTCCACCATTACAGTATCACACAGAATAGTTTCACTGCCCTGAAAGTTCCTTGTGCTCCACTTTTCCATCCCCCCACTTCCTCCCGCCAAATCCCTGGCAACCACTGCTCTTTTTATCTCCATAGTTTTTGCCTTTTCCAAAATAACATATAGTTGGAGTCACGTAGTACATAGAGTTTTCAGACTGGCGTCTTTCACTTAGTATGCATTTAAGTTTCCTTCTTCCATGGCTTTTTGTAGCTCGCTAGCCCATTTCTTTTTACCTTGGATAATATTCCATTTTGTGGAGGTACTACAGTTTGTCTATCCATTCACCTACTGAGGTATATCTTGGTTGTCTCCAAGTTTTAGCAATTATAAATAAAGCTGCCATAAACATTTGTATGTGGGTTTCTGTGTGGGCATAAGTTTTTCCATCATTTGGGTAAATACTGAAGAGTGCAATTGCTGGATCATATGCTAAGCCTATGTTTAGCTCCGTAAGAAACTGCCAGACTGTCTTCCAAAGTGGCTAAAACTTAAATGGCCATACAAAAGTTGGTGTGAATATGAAGCAATTGGTACACTGCAGGTGGTAATTAAAATGGTACAACCACTTTGCAAGACAGTGTGGCAGTTTACTAAGCTAAGCATATTCTATCCATGTGACCAGCAATTGCACTACTTAGTATTTACCCAAACAAGTTGAAAATTTATGTTCACACACAAATCTGCACACAAATGTTTATAGTTACACTTCTAAATTATAGTAAAACTGTGATTTTAAGGGTACATCTTCAGTTTCTATGAACATAAAAATGTGGAAGTAGTGACTCCCAAAACCAAAGCCTGAATTTGGCCTGATGCTCCCAGTTGAATCTACATTTAGTTGCCGTGTAATGCCAAAGCTGCATGGGATATCAAGATCATTAACCTAGCTCTGTCTTCATTTCCTTTTTTTTTTTTTTTTTTTTTTTTTTTTTTTTTTTTTTGAGACAGAGTCTCACTCTATTGCCCAGTCCAGAGTGTAGTGGCACATTCTCAGCTCACTGCAACCTCTGCCTCCCAGGTTCAAGCAATTCTTATGCCTCAGCCTCCCAACTAGCTGGGACAACAGTTGCACACCACCATGCCTGGCTAATTTTTGTATTTCTAGTAGAGATGGGGATTCACCATCTTGGCCAGGCTAGTCTTGAGCTCCAGACCTCAGGTGATCTACCTGCCTCAGCCTCCCAAAGTGCTGGGATTACAGGCATGAGCCACGATGCCCAGCCCTTAGTTTCCTTTATTTATTCATTGATTTGTTTTTTATTTGTATCACTGTGTGAAGCCAGGAATAAACATTTATTTGATGGCTTGTTTAGATACTTTAGTAAAGGGCTTCTTCATTTTAATAACGCCACACCATTATCTCCAAAAGGAACTTGGTGAAAGCTGCTAGCTGTCTTGTCCATGTACTGTGATGGTTCTGTTTCAGATCTGTTGACCAGAAATGTTTCGGATTTGGGATTGTTCATTAAGAGTAAACAGCAGCTGTCGGACAACCAGAGGCAGATATCTGATGCCATAGCCGCTGCAAGTATCGTGACAAATGGCACTGGGATTGAGAGCACATCTCTGGGCATTTTCGGGGTGGGCATACTTCAGCTCAACGATTTCCTCGTGAATTGCCAAGGAGAGCACTGCACTTATGATGAAATCCTCAGCATCATCCAGGTTTGTGCCTGTTTTGTGTGTGCATGTGTATGTGATGCCTCTGGCTAGTCTAATACTTTGCTGCTAAATATTTACCCTTTCTATACTTCTTTCCAAAGCTTTTAAATCTGGGGCAGAAATAGTTTGGTTTGGTTTGGTTTGGTTTTTAACAAAATGCCAAGTATGGGCTGGGCATGGTGGTTCATCCCTGTAATCCCATCACTTTGGGAGGCTGAGGCTGGCGGATCACTTGAGGCCAGAAGTTTGAGACCAGCCTGGCCAACATGATGAAACCCCGGCCCTACTAAAAATACAAAAATCAGCTAGAGCTGGGCGTGGTGGCTCACACCTGTAATCCTAACACTTTGAGAGGCTGAGGCAGGTGGATTACCTGAGGTCAGGAGTTCAAGATCAGCCTGGCCAACATGGTGAAACTCTGTCTCTACTAAAAATACAAAAATTATCCAGGTGTGGTGGCGCATACCTGTAATCCCAGGGGCCCAGGAGGGTAAGGCAGGAGAATCGCTGGAACCCAGGAGGTGGAGGCTGCAGTGAGCCTAGATTGCACCACTGCCCTGGGCAACAGATCGAGACCCTATCTCAAAAAAAAAAAAAAAAAAAAAAATCAGCCTGGCATGGTGGTGCAGACCTGTAATTCCAGCTACTTGAGAGGCTGAGACATGAGAATCGCTTGAACCCGGAAGGCAGAGGTTGCAGTGAGCTGAGATTGCACCACCGCACACCAGTCTGGGCAACAGAGCAAAACACAAACAAAAACAAGTATGTAAGTGTTCTTCTCTAACATATAATTAACATAGGCCCCAGGCCTTCTCTAACTAAGTAGCTATTACAAGGAGTTGGTACATAATTTTTTCTTATTATTCTAGAACACGCAACAGATTTAGTCTAGGTTTTCAACCTCGCTAGTCATTTAATGAATACGTACTAGTTCCTACTATGCTGGTTCAGTTTTAGGAGGTGGAAATAGAGCAGAGAATAAGATAAAAGTTCTGGCCCTCGATGCAGCTTATATTCTAAATGGTGAGGCAGACAACAAACAAAGATACGAGGTAATTTCTGGTACTAATGGGGTAGGGGGAAACTGAGTCAAATAAGGGAAAGGAATGATACAGGAGGGCTGAGGAGAGTAAGCAAAGGCCACTTGGAAGAGGTGGCATTTTGGACTGAGCCTTAAGTGAATAACTAACTTGACGGTCTCAGGAAAGGGCATTCCCCACAGGGAGCCCCGGGCTCAAAGACCACAGCAGCAGAAAGCTGGGAGCTTATGAGGAACCACAGAAAGCTGGCGGGCTGTGAGCTGCACCAGCCAGGCAGAGTGGCAGGCACAGTGTCAGATGGATGTGCAAGGGCCCAGTCACCCGGGCCTTGTAGAGCATGAGAAGGAGGCTGGCTTTAGTCCATGTAAAATATGTGAAATGGGATACCACTGGACATTTCTGAGCAGAGGAGTAACATGATTTATTTTTTAAGAGGTTACTCTGAGCCAGGCATGGTGACACAAACCTGTAGTCCCGGCTATTCAGGAAGCTGACGCAGGAGGATTGGCCTGAACCCAGGAGTTCGAGGACAGCCTGGGCAATATAGCAAGACCCTGTATCTTAAAAATAAATTTAAGTGGTTACTCTGGCCCCGTTTTAAACTGTGCTGGTGAAGGAATAGATACGGAGAAACTGCTGAGGAAGCTATCACAGTAACTAGCAATAGCTGGTGAAGGTTTAGAGTACAAGGTGGCAGCAGAGAGGAGTGGGGACAGCATTCATTGTGGCTGCATGCAACAAATTAGTCTAAGTTTCAACCTCCCTTATCACCTTACTGGGAATCAGTGTATTTGTTGTGCAGCAGTTGGATTCCATCACTGAAAATACAAAAACTGTGAGATGACTGTCATACAGTTGAGTGCTCATTATAATATAACTAAATACAGGCAGGGCACCAAGTGCTCTATGTGAATCATCTCAGTTTGCCTCTCCCCAGCTTTGCGGTAGCTATTATCCCCATTTTTACCTGGACAAACTGATAGACTTTGTTTCCATAGAAATCAGCCTTGTTCTTTTCTCATTCTCTCCTTTTTTCTATTAAATAAATATGCTTAGTACAATAAATTCACATCTAATAAATATTTTCTTTTGGACTAAAAACTACTTCTTACCACTACATTGCTAAATTAGTTCAAATATTTGGTTTAGATGTTTCCTGATGAAAACAGAACAGCTTTAAAAAATGATGTGGCGATTTCTTTCCCCACTTAGTTTCCTTAACCTAAGTAAAACTTTTTTTTAAATTCCTTGCAGAAGTTTGAGCCTAGCATCAGTATGTGTCATCAGGGACTGATGTCATTTGAAGGGTTTGCAAGGTAACTTTTAAAATATCTTTTGCCCATCTTTTAAAAGTAGTATACATTTTTCCCATGTGGTCTTAAGAAAATTTCTTTCATCTAGGTTTCTGATGGATAAAGAAAATTTTGCCTCAAAAAATGATGAGTCACAGGAGAACGTCAAAGAACTGCAGCTACCCCTCTCATACTATTACATTGAGTCTTCACACAATACCTACCTCACGGGCCATCAGCTCAAAGGAGAATCCTCAGTGGAACTCTATAGCCAGGTACAAGGAATGCCACTTGGAATGTGGTTTTTATTAAACCTAATTATTTACATAACCCCCGAAGTCACAAAAACCTGACCCAGACTCCTTTGAAGATCTTAGAAATGATTGCATGTCAAAAGTGAGGAACCATGATGTGTGGGAAAACTGGCTATACATACGGCAGTTGTTTTCTTTCTTCTTTGTGTTTTGTTTTCCCCCATCTATACTTAACCTTTATTCTGGGCCAAAATAAAAGTGTTTGTATGAGAATCACGGCTTTTAGATCCTAGTTAGTCTGACCTACTCCCACTAAAATTAGATTTTCCCATGGGAAAATTATCTAATCCTTTCTCTAAATGCTAAATAAATCAATATATTATAGTGGGAAAGCGTAGTAGAAAATGCAACTTTCTATGTAGTTATTCCCAAAATATTGTTTGTTTTGCTTTTCAGTTTGTTAAATAATTAATCTATCCCTATGGTAACCAAAAACAATGCAGAAAAAAATCTGCACAGAGTGTAGGCACTGTCTACACATTCATGAGACTGTTCTTTGAAGCTCAGTAGGCTCTTTAAACTAGAAAAAGTACATCCTTTTAACCTAAACATCCAGCTTGCAATGATCTGCATGTCCATTGCCTGTCTGCTATACCTATTCTGCCTGTTTTCTGAGCCCTTTCAAGAAGGATCAATTGATTGGAGCTAGGCTGGGTCCAGGGAATATAAGTGTGTCATTGTGTGCACATGTGGGTCCAAGTTTGGAAATCACAGTTGTGTGGTTTACACAACCCCAGCAACAATGAGGTTTCTTTGTTCTCCCAGATTAGTCCAGATATTCCTCAAAGCATGGGGCAGTGTTTTGTCCCAAAGCTTGTTTAGCATGGAATATGCATTTTAAACTGTATTCTGTAAGGGACTTGTATTATGAAAGAAGATGTGTCCTTAGAGTAGTGATTTTCCAAGCAGAAGTTCTGTCATGGGGCCTGAGCCCTTGACACTGAGATGAGAAAGCAGGAGAGTAGGACAGGTGCCATATGCTCCCCGCTTCAGCTAATGCACGACTCTTACACACACTTTATATATTGTCCCTCCATTTGCACCCAGGATGCCAAAGTTGAAAGAAGTTTGAAATCCATTATTCTGTAGGAAAGAAATGAAATATACATATAAATAGAGATATACATTTCACATACACGCATACAGAGGTATATACATATACATGTTTGTACATATATGTGTTAGTGCATATATACGTATCTATGTATATCTATGTACTTGTGCGTATGCCTATTTCTCCTGGGAAAATAAACAAGGACCAGTGTCCTGGCTTTAATTCCTACTTCATTTCTCTGTTTGACTCCAGAGAGTTTTTAAACCTCTTAACATCACACCCTAAGGAGAAACTATTACAGCTTTTGAATAAGGCACAAGAACCCCTAAAATAGACTCACAGATGTGATTAAACCTACTGTGCAGACAGGTTTAGATCCCTCTCACTTCATTTCTAACCCTCTCCACACTTCCTTGCCCTCCTAATTACCTCTTAATATTTCTCCATGGGGCAGATGGGAAGTGAGAATAAGCCCTGCTCTTCTCATCTAGAATTTCCAGCCCAGGTTTTCCTCTTCTCGCCATATGCGGAGGTCTAAGGTCATGTAGACTTTAGTGAAGACCTTTAGTTTTTTCATGCTGAAAAGCCATCTCATCTGTCACCACTTGCTGAACATTATTCCCAGTCTGGCAGGGTCACCACAGAGATAAGCAGGTTGGTGTTGCAGCCGCCATTTTACATAACAATTTCCAGCCCAAGGCACTGCACCTTTAGATGCTCCAGCTGCTGAAAGAAGCAGATAGCTAGCCTTGGGATTCTAGGCCACCAACTATGCTGTAAAATAGGAAGAATATGGCACATATATTTCAGAAACTCTAGTGGCTATTAAGCCCCAGTAATGGATTGCTGTCACATAGAAATAGTTATGTGCATTCTAAAATCAGTAGGTAGGCACATTTACAGACCCAAACCTCTTGGCTTGGGTCACCATTCCAGTATGTGATAGTTTTTTAAGATGATGTACAGATAGATCTGTGGAGGAAGAGGCTGCTTCCAGCAAACTTCACAAAGTTGAAACCCAAGCACATGTATTGAGCTCTGCTTCCCACTTTAGATCCAGAATACCAAATAGGTATCAACTCATCTGATTCTTTGGTAGTGTTTTCTGGAGCACTTTGATAAAGAGGTTGAAAGCTAACATATTTTAAAGCTTAAAGGGCAAGTGTGCCTAGCTTGATAACTGATGTCAGCTGTGGGTAGGAGAGAAAGGAAACGTTTATGGATTATTTGCCATCTTTGCTCCAGTTGCTGATCTGGAATTAGATAGCCAGGCAAATCCTTGATAACTCTTTGCTTCTACTCTTCTTACATGCTACACATTCAAAGCAACTATGTTTAATCGTAGCTTAATTTGGGTCTTAATGGAGGAGATTTTATCCTGATTGGCTTCCCATAAATGTTTAGCCAGTTCATTAAGGACTCAGTGGCCTTCCTTTCCCTGGGCTGTAGCATCAGCGTGTTCACCTCCATGGATGTCTGCCCAGATAGAACATTTGCCTGGTTCTCTAATTTCAAGAAGTGCCATTTCAAGGGGTCAAATTTGCAAGTTGCTAGGAAAATGGCCATATGGTTTTGTTATCAAATTTTACTTTCCTTTAACATTCAGCTCTGGTAAACACTCTTCCTTCCTTAGTGTGTTCCCTTCCTTCCCCACTCTAGATTAATTGTGGCCATTGGCAAAAATGTAGTGTTTGTTTTAGACCATATGCCCTTCTGCTCTAGTCCTGAATGTGAACACTGACTGATACGTAGAACTATATGCTGGGTTTAGTTTGAGGCTTTATTCCCAGGTGCTCACCTGGGGTGGATTCTCATTGATCACACAGGTCCTCTTGCAAGGCTGTCGAAGTGTAGAATTGGACTGCTGGGACGGAGACGATGGGATGCCCATCATTTATCATGGACATACACTGACAACCAAGATCCCCTTCAAGGTAATGCTTCATAACTTTCTGTAAATCAAATCACAAAGAGACATCATCTCCATTTGTCTTTTTTTTTTTTTTTTTTTTTAAGATGGGATCTCTCTCAGTTATCCAGGCTGGAGTGCAGTGGTACCATCTTGGCTCACTGCAACCTCCACCTCACAGGTTCAAGCAATTCTCCTGCCTCAGCCTCCTGAGTAACTGGAATTACAGGCACATGTCATCAAGCCCAACCAATTTTTGTATTTCTAGTAGAGATGGGGTTTCACCATGTTGGCCAGGCTGGTCTCAAACTCCTGACCTCAAGTGATCTGCCCACCTCAGCCTCCCAAAGTGCTAGGATTACAGGCATGAGCCACCACACCTGGCCTTCATTCATCATTTAAATCAGTGACTTGACCAAATTACACCTTAGGTCAAGGGTCTTTATGCTGGGTCTAAATGAAGACTTCCCAAAAGTGTTTGCTATATCATGTAGAATACACGTTCATGTTTCTGGAGTTAATCTAGAACTCTTATTAGATTCCCCATTCAACCAAAGTTAGTAGCCATTACCTTATGTTAGTTAGCATGTAATAATATTATTGCAATTTTTACATAATATGATATAAAAGGCAGGGTCTGTTCTTCTGCTGTAGAAATTAATGGTCATTTGTCCTGGTATAATGCTGACAAAGGCCAATGCCAAGAGTTAGGAGATGGTTAAATAGTTAGGATTATACTATTATAAGCATCAGTTCCACCTGAGAAGATTGGTCACCCAGGAAGACTGATGTCATTGGATTTGTGTTTCAAATTCTGGGTAGCTTATTCATTCAGTTATGCAATTACTATCTTCATTCAGAAGGTCTTAGGCTGTGTAACATCATTTTTCTCTGAACTGTGGCCAGGCTGTGAAAGAATATTATTTTTATTTCCTATGTAGAAATGTGGCTAAAATGCATTTTCTCCTTAACTTGGTTTCCTATTTAGTACTCCTAAAACTCCTGTGTGCTATATTGGTCAGGGGACAAGTTAATAACTGTGTTTACATATACACATAAATATATGTGATATATGTCATACTGCCTCATATAAATTATAAACTCTTTATAAGCAGGAAAGTATTCTGTGCTTATGTTTGCTGCTATAAATAAGAGAGTATCTTTCACCTTCAATATATTCTATATGTAGAGAGAGATTATATGTATATTGATAGATTTGTTAAATTCAATATGATGGTTGTTCTTTATAGTATGTCAACAATACTCATTATAAACAGTTTAATGTCTTTCTGCAAAATAGCCTTATCCTCATGCTTCGTTTGAAAATACAAAACCACCTTTGACCAGAGTCTGCTGTATGCAACAACTGAGGTGCTTTCTGTGGCTATATCTGGACAGATAGCTGGACTCTAATGAGCTGTTTTGGCTCTCATAGGAAGTGGTTGAAGCCATTGATCGAAGTGCCTTCATCAACTCTGACCTGCCAATCATCATATCGATTGAGAACCACTGTTCATTGCCTCAGCAACGAAAAATGGCAGAAATTTTCAAGGTGAGCTCTCAACAAAAAGGCAGGATGGTGTGTTAGCAGAGGGGTGTGTGGGCCCTTGTCTTGCAATTGTCATTGGGTTGTTTTTTGTTTTTTGTTTTTTGAGACAGAGTCTCACTTTGTCACCCGGGTTAGAGTACAGTGGCGCAATCTCAGCTCACCACAACCTCTGCCTCTGAGGTTCAAGTGGTTCTCCTGCCTCAGCCTCCTGAGTAGCTGGGATTACTGTTGTGTACCCCCATGCCTGGCTAATTTTTTTATATTTAGGAGAGACAGGGTTTCACCATGTTGGGCAGGCTGCTCTGGAACTCCAGGCTTCAAGCGATCTGCCTGCCTTGGCCTCCCGAAGTGCGGGGTTTGTAGGCGTGAGCCACGCACCCGCTGTCATTGGGTATTACACGAGGCCTTTGTGGACCACACCACAGTTGGACCTGGGCCGTGAAGCAAATACAGTTAGGGTCCCACAGATCTGAGAAATCGGGCTGTTCTCAGCCTGGGCCCTCTCTGGGATGGTCCCTCTTTTCAGCTGGAATAATATATACATTGCTCTCTGGTCTCCTGACCCTTTCCAGAAAGCCTTAGGAGGAAACAATAGACCAATTCTCCAACATTTCTGGTACCACAAGTCAGGGATGCCAGGATGTCATCTGTCAGTTGTATGTGGAAAAGCTGAAAATATCTCAGGAGAAGATTTGAAAATAAGTCCAATCTTCTTGTAGCAGAAGATCTTATACCACAGTACAAGGATCCAAGTTAGCAAAGAGCCTAGACCGGCCAGCACAGTTGCTGTGTTAACACTCAGCCGTTCCTTATGTAAGGGAATAACGTACCCAGATTTAGGAGCAGGTATTCCATTATGCTTCCTGCTTCCTTTAACGGTAGAGGCATTTGTGGAAATGTGGCTCTCAGTGGGAAGAGGGGCACTAGCAAAAGAAAATGTCCCCAAATATTAATGTCAACAAAACTAATTAACTCTTCATATTGTCTTGGCCTAAGGTTTGATTTTTTTTTCAATTAAAATAAAATAAAACAAAATAAAATAAAACTTAAGGCCAGGCCGGCCCAGTGGCTCACACCTGTAATCCTAGCACTTTGGGAGGCTGGGGCGGGTAGATCACTTGAGCTCAGAAGTTTGAGACCAGCCTGGGCAACATGGCAAAACCTCGTCTCTATGAAAAATAAAAAATTATCCAAGTGAGGTGGCATGAGCCTATATTCCCAGCTACTTGAGGGGCTGAGACAGGAGAATGGCTTGAGCTCAGGAGGTGGAGGCTGCAGTTAGGCAAGATCATGCCACTGCACTCCAGCCTGGGTGACAAAGTGAGACCCTGTCTCCAAATTAAAAAAAAAACCAAAAAACTAGAAATAAAAGTTGCCGTATTTTCTATCCTTACCCCAATAGATTACCCTGTGTCTGTCTGCCTTCTCTCCACCCACCTCCTGGAGAGGCACACACTCTGCTTTGGAGATTGATGCTCGAAATCTTTGTGAGAATTGTGTCTGTGGTTCTTCACACTATGTGGGGGCAAATTCTACCTAAGTCTCATCTTTGTCCCTACACCCTGTCCCCTCCAAAGTTTCTATCCTTTTGATTTGACTTCATCTGAAACTAACCTTACTGGACAAACAACAGCCTCTAACTGGTTCTCTGTTTTCTTATTTAATACCTCAGACCTCAGAATATTTTCCTAAATAGTTAGAACTGACCCCAGCTGCAAAGTGGCTTCAGTCTCTCCTCCTGTCCTTCTAATCACCTCCCTTCCTTTCAGTAAGAAACTGTGAAGGGGGCAGAGCAGGGGACAACTTCTTTCCTAGTTCCTCTTCCTCAGACTTCTTAAATAATTCAACCAATCTAAAATATCTACTATATTTATGAAGTATACATGTATTTATCAATTATAGATAAAAGGTATTGATTGTATGTTTTTCTTTATTCTTTTTAGACTGTGTTTGGAGAAAAGCTGGTGACTAAATTCTTATTTGAGACTGATTTCTCAGATGATCCAATGCTTCCTTCACCTGACCAACTCAGAAGGAAAGTGCTTCTTAAAAACAAGAAGCTAAAAGCCCATCAGACGCCAGTGGATATCTTAAAGCAAAAGGTACTCCCCTGTTGTGAAACTGGTTATGAAAAGGCAGTGTGCTTAGAACCAAAAAAAAAAAAACAAGTCATTCTAACCTTTCACATGACCTGCTGGTTTACTAGTTTTTCAAGATTGAATTTCCTTAAATGATAAATTTGATTTCGGGCTTTTCATAGACCAGTAAATTCTCTCATCTCACTCACCTAAGGTTTAATTTGTGGAATTGTTCCCACATCGAATAAACCTCTGTTATTTAATGTATTCTGAGTGGGATGATGGGTGACTCTTGTGTCTGAAAGTGAGCTTCAGGGTTGGCCATCCCACAATGGCTGCTACAGTCCCCTTTAGGGAGAGCCCCCTTAGGGGAGCACTTGGCATGGAGCTTGCAGTGGAAGCCCAGTAGCAGCAGCCCTGTGATCCCAGTGTGTCACTGGTTTGTGCTGCTTGGGCCCAGATCTCGTCCACAGAGATCTGTGCCCAAGAATGACAACCCCACCTGTGTAGGAGACCCTCAGCCCAAAGGTCTGTGAAGAAAGTTCAGGTCCAGAACACTGAGTCTATTTGCCAGGCTGCACCTACTTATCCCACAGGATAACAGCTGGTAAAACTACTTATCCTACTTAGGAGGGCACTCTTGCTCCTAAAACATCACTTTGGAAACTAGCCAGCTACAGACTTGCTCTCAGGCTGACCTGTCTTTCAAAGAGAACAAGTACATAGATGCTAAAGATTCAGAAGCCAGTTTCTTGACGAACACCCAAACCTGCATATTCCCTTGAAATCGTTGTGTACTCCAGAGGTATACATTACCCAATTTGAAGATCACTCACAACTCTGAGCCAAAAGTTGCAAAATCAGCCACCTTCAGGGGCTAAGCAGGAAACATCAGTGTGAGGAGCCGGCTGGATACAGGACAGCTGGAAGTGGTGAGGACAGGAGTGGGGTGTGTACGCCTCATCAATGAACAGCTCGAATTCACACTGCACCAGCCAAACAAGTCAGGTCTGGAGGTGAAGTCAGCCCCAAGAGCCACCAGTTGGAAACCTCCACACCTTGATCCAGATCTACACTCTCAAAGCATCTCCAGGTGACCTGGCCTTTGCTAGGGTTCCAGAGGCCATGTCACCTCTGCTGATGGGCCTTGTTATGACGTTATTTAACTGAAATGTTAGCATGTATACTCTACCTGGCCTTTCTCAAATGCCACCTCAGTGACTGACCACCCAGCAGTGGTGCTTTTTTTTCCAGAGCCCTGTTCATCTATGCTGGTTCCTCTATCCAACAATTCCGGCCCCACCCTCGCTGCCAAGCAGATAAAGTTGTTAACCACACACACCGCTAAGGTCTTCAAGATATATGTGAATGTCCTTGCCTTTCCCATTCTGGCGCAGTCATTTGCAGTTACTTATAGGCTTTCATTCCACTAATGAACAGAAGCCTTTTTTATGTTGAGCCCAAACCTTCCTTCCTGTACCTCCTTCTCATTGGCCCTCCCTCTTCCCTCTGCAGCTGTACAGACTAATTTTATATTTAGAAAGCTATCATGTGTTTCCCCACGAGCTTTTCTTCTCCAAGCTAAAAATTCTTGTTGTGCCAACTGTTCCTGACAGGATATGGTTGTTAAGACTCTTCATTTACCATTAAGAATATCGTGGCTATTCCTGAATTTATCAATCTTAAAATGTGATTTCCAGAACTAAGTCAGTATTCTAGATAGGGTCTTACAGCCCAAGAACAGTGAAACCATCACCTCCCCTAATTTGAACTTTAAACCTTTGTTAATGTGGCCTCAGACTGTTTTCTTTTTTAAAAATCTTGGCCAGCTGCTGTGGCTCACACCTGTAATCCCAGCACTTTGGGAGGCTGAGGCAGGTGGATTGCTTGAGTCTAGGAGTTCAAAACCAACCTGGGCAATATATCAAATCCCCATCTCTACAAAAAAATATAAAAATTAGCTGGACATTGTGGCACATGCCTGTATTCCCAGCTACTGGAGAGGCTGAGACAGGAGGATCATCTGAACCTGGGAGGCCAAGGCTGCAGTGAGCCATGATCGTGCCACTGCACACCAGTCTAGGCTATAGAGTGAGACCCTGACTCAAAAAAAATTCTTGAGCACACACTGGGCTTGTGTTGAGCTTGTAGAAAATAAAAGGCATTCAGTTATTTTCAAATAGACATGCCCAGTCTTCCCATTTTTCCAGATTAACAATAAATTTTAACCTTTTGTATATGGGAGCCTCATATTTATCTCTGTTTTTGCTCTTCTTGGTTTTGGTACAGTAATACAGTGTACAAGGTTCTTTGTGAATTTGGTTTCTGTCATCTGGTCCATTGATTAGCAGTTTCTCAAACTGCATCTTCATCCCAAGTTGCCTTTGAGTCAGCCAGCTATGGAGAAGAGCCTGTGCCCTTCTTAAAGAACCCCCGACATTTAGATGATTACTGCTGCTGTCTGGTGCTCTCCTCTCTTGTAGCCTGCATTTCCCATAGTGTGCTTCAACCTCTTTATTTATTGATTTATTTATAAAACCGAAAACTGAAGGCTGGCCACTTGTGTGACTTTCTCAAGGCCACCCAGCTCACAGCAGCAGAGCTTTGTCTCAGATGTGGGTTTTTATAGAAGCCCTTTTCAAAGATGATACAGAAGTCAGAATTATTAATAAGAATAATCACTGGAGCACTTTGAAAAACAGATTCTAAGGTCATGAATCTAAAGTCAGAATTTCCACAAGAAAGGCCTGGTCATCTGTTTATATAAAAATAAATCCTTAAGTTACCATGGTGTCTGCAGAAAAAAATAATAATAATTCATATAATCCTGGAAGTTTGAGAAACACTATTTATCTGCTGTTTTTTCCCCAAAATGAATTACCTTATCCAAAAAAGCTAAGGATGTTACTGTGTAGTAAACTTGTTCTTAGGAGACCCTTTCCAACTCTTGCAAGCCACCTCTTTATTTTCTAAGTTCTCACAACCCAAGTGATTAATACCCCATCATGAAATTTTGTCAGTTATCACCTTGACATTGCCCACAGTATAATTTCCGTAGCTTACTTGTTCCTCATTTTGGAAAAATGGGACAATGTAATTCCCATTTCCAGTTTTCTAAGACTGCTTGCAGCCTTTCATGATGACTTCCCAGGGAGTATCAGCAATGATTCCATTGTCACATCTGTAAGGCCTTTTGGTTTTCTTGTAGATCATGGGTCTAGACCTAGCGATCTGACCTCAAATAAACTGGGTCAATGCCCAGAGCTCCAGTGGGCTCAGACCTATCCCTTAACATAGAAGGCCTACGTCATTTCCATACAAAGAACTTGCCATCAGCAAGGATGGACTGATTCAGAGCAGGATTTATGAAGCCCTCCATCTGCCTCTGGCTTGTGCTGAGATGCATCCTGAGGTCTTCTAACTATACCCCACCTGTATTCTCCAAGATTCTGACATTCCTCTCCTGAACTTGAACCCAAAAAACTCCAACATTTCTCCCTAGATAACAGGCACTGTGGCAAGGTACTGGGGAAACAGAAAGGTAAAACGTTGCCCCTGCCTAGCCCTATCAGGACCAGTCTCCTCATCTGACCCATACCTCCAACCCTGACCTATATCCAAGTTACTTTTATTCAAGGGCTGAAGCCCCATTTTTCTACCCTAGAATAAGTACGATATTGCATAGAAGGGTCCCAGCTGCTGGCTGTTCACCGGGCTACCTCTCCCATGCTTCTGCTTGAGCATCTCAGGGGTCTTGCCACCCCACTTTCAGACACTGCTGTCCGTGGTTCTTTGAGCAGTGTCCTTCTCCCATGCAGTTCTCACGCTTTCCTGCCAGTGGGTCTGTCCAGCCCTTGGCCTCATCATTCCCAGCACTTGGCGTTACCTTGAGTGCTCGCTGCGTCAAGGCCCTTCTCCTATCAGCCATAAACAGACCTGCTTGTGGGACTCACTTGTGCCTACAACAGATTTCCCAAAGTTTGGAAGAACACTAATGCTGTGAGAAACTCTGAGAAGAGAAAGATGGGGAAGAAAATCCTTCCTGGTTAAGTAAGCATGAGACATGTTGCACTGGAGATCTTTGAAGACTCGCAGTGTCCTTTAGCATACTAAATGAAGGCTGTGTGAAACCCTGCAGTTTGGTTAAGCTGCTGTTTCCAGGCATTCAATGTGTTTTGTGGTTCCTGTGATTGTGAGTTTTTCCATAACACTTATTAACACCCACAGAACTCCATAAAACCCACTTTGAGAAATCTCAGCTTAGACAACGTCCAGTTATCTGGAATAGGTTTCATCTGGATATGGACATAGCCTAAATTGTATCTTCCTTATGTATATATTTTTGTTATAAAGGTAATATAACCACATTTCAAAAAATTAGGGAATAGAGAATTATTTTAAAACATACATAATTCCAGGGTCAAACACACCTGTATTACATGAGTTCTTAACCTTGGTAATATCCACAAATAGAATTTAGGGAGTCTGTAGATATAAATGGAAAAAAAATTACATCTTTATTTTCACTAATTTCTAGCTGAAATTTACCATTTCCTCTGATTATAAATGTAGGGAATAAACTACAGTACTGTATGCAGTACCTATTGTCACCAATAGAAATGGCAACTTTTTCATTATACTTTCACAGTTGTCACTAATATCTCCAAGAAGTATTTATGCTCAATTTACATTTTCAAAAATGTTACTTGACCTACTACTATGTTTTCTACTGTGTTAATAAACACATATATTCTAATAGCACAAATTTGTTCCTATAACATGTGATAACTGTTTTCAACAGTATTTCCTTTTAATCATTTCATTGTATGCATTTACAACCTCATTCTGAGAAGGGATCCCATCTCACCAGACAAGCAGAGAAGTCTATGACACAAAAGCAAGTGAAGAACCCCTGCTGTGTTCACATTTACTATCTAGCACTTTTATGACTGTCATTTTATATAACTGCACTTTAAATATGCAAAACAAAGAATACAGAATTATATGTATATTTATATAGTGTATAGATATCTGTGTGCCCACACATTTTATATATAAAATATATTAGCACACACACATACCTATGCACACATACACATGCAGAATTGTCTATATATATGTGCATATATAATCTATATATTATATTCAATTTATAAATATTGAAAAATTTATTGTACAAAAGAATTTGTTCAATTCCTTTGTTCAATAAACATATATCAATTATTTTTTCATGTCTCATTCTCTCAAGCAGACCACCATTGCTACTGACCCATTCCTCTATTGATGGACTTTGATTGTTTCTTGCTTTTAGTTCATGCAAGTAACTTTTCCTATGTTTCAGATGATTTTCTTAAGCTAGGCAGTTTCTCAGACCTGTCCGGATGCTTATCACTTCACAGTAATTCCAGTAAACATGGAGTATGTGACCTTCCTGGCTGCACATATCAACTTCCTAAAGCTTCCAGGCCTGTTTTGTTAATCTGATTTACGGTTCAGATAGTCTTTTGAAAAAACTTTATTTTAACCAACAATAATTCTTTAGGCCTCTTTGTCCATAAGGATTCTAACATTGTTCTCAAGGTCAGGGGCCTGTATATATTATTTTAAGAAGGGGAAAAAATGGTTTATTAACAAAGACATACTTTCAAAAATTGATGGGCGATTCACTTCCTCAGTCATTTGGGATTGATGCTGGTTCTCCAAAGCACCAACGCTTTCTCTTGGAGGGGTTGCCCTGGGAACCTGACTAGCTGGGCACCTCATACAGTCTTCTGGAGACTGTGTATAAAAGCTCCAGAATTCTTCCTGTAGAAATGCTAACATTCACCTGAGTGTTGACATTGCATTTCAAGTGAATCTAGATTTTTTTCTCCTCTCCCAAATGTATCAAAATAGGTTAAGCTACTTTTAGCGATTGTGTTAAAAATCAGGGGTAGTTTTGAAGGTTGTAAATGAATTCAGTAGCTTGGCATCTGCAGTTTATAATTATTGCTATTTTACAGGCTCATCAGTTAGCATCTATGCAAGCACAGGCTTATAATGGTGGGAATGCCAACCCCCCACCTGCCAATAATGAGGAAGAGGAAGATGAGGAGGACGAATATGATTATGACTATGAATCCCTTTCTGATGGTAAGAGAAACAGATCCCTATGCTGTGCACAGGAAAATGTTTGGATGATTTTCCACATTTTTCTTTCTAAAATAAACCTGGAGCTCTAGAGATCAATAATACAGATTGTTGTAGTATTGTCCAGGAGTTTCTGAATTCAGTCACTTAGCAAGGACCGAGGAAGGAAAGGGATTCTGTTAGCCACCAGTTAAGGAAAGAAGAGGCAGGTGTGGGAATTTACAGGGAGTCATTCCTATGACAAGTTTTTAGAGGAAGAAATGAAATTGCAGCAAAGAAATCTTGTTTTCACCCTTTAGTTTCTAGTGTGGCTGATGCAGTTGGCAGTAATTGTAGTCTGAGGCTTCGTCCTTTTTCCTGCACCACCGGCAGGGGGCAGCATCACGATTCTGTGCTCTCTGTTCGTTTCACTCTCATACCACTAAGCCAACAAGATCTTTCCTTCTGACCCTACCAAAGAGAAAATACATGGGCAATTGCTAATGTTGCAATACAAAAAAGTCACATGAATGATGTTAACTACAGATTACTAGCGAAGGATTCTTCTCACCTGAGAATTAGGTTTTCAGTGTGTTTCATTTGCTTTAAACACTTGACAGAGATTGCAGAATGTTTACTCGGGTTCCCTTGCTGATAGAAGACTGTTTCATTTTGGTGACGTCTGAAAGACAACAATATAATAAGAAAATGCCAAGGTTCCTATTTCTGTAAACATTATACAGTAGAATATATTGTTTCTATGTAGAATAATTGTTTTGCTAAATATGCAGATATGCCCAGACCAGAAACAACTTACCATTAAGTTGTGTCAGGCATTAAGACAACTGAGCCACTTCATCCAAATATTTGCTGCTCAGCAGAAATTTGGGTTGTCTCTAATCATAGTTGAGTTTTGTGAACCTCCATCACTTGTTACACTGCAGTCTCTGTCTGCCCTCAAATATAATACTGAACTATGTCACTTAATATTTGTCCTTAGTAATAGTTGATTGCTTCCTACCATCAATTAAAAGCCAATTTGCTACACCTGAAACCCCATGAGCTAATATGAGGGACATATCTCATCAGATAGTAAGAGGGAAAAAAATTAAAAGGAGTCAAGACAATTTCTCTACAGGCTATTCCTGAAAAGTCATGGGAATGTGAATTTTTTATAGTCTTCTTCCCCATGGATTTCTTCGCTATTACAGTTGCAGTAATGCCCCATAGAAGAACAAATTGATTCAGATATGAAATAAAAAACACACTTAAGAAATTAACTAATCCACATGTCCTATGCCCCTATAAGTAGTTAGTCCACTAGAAAACAAATTTGCTTTCTCCTAAGTTACTCCTGTGCTTTTTCTGTACTTCTGAGAACAAGAAAGGAGAAAGTTTTTAGCAATTATTATTATACTGTAGATTTCACATAAAAATAATTATTATAGATGGTTTTGATTTGCAAATAACAAAATGAACAAGTGGGAGGAGGATCTTTCTGATTTATTTTCATTTGGGACAGTAAAATTTAATTCTATACCACTGAATTTCTAAGATAGTTGCATGCATTTTTAAAAATCCACATAAGTAGAGATTGGGGTATCAGTGGAAATGGGGACCCCGCAAGGCTCTGTTCCAATAGACTGTGAGACCTGAGGCAATGTCCTTTTCATCACTTTAGGCCTTACATGCCTCAGATATATAAAGAAAAGGTTTTGTGAAGTGTTTGGTGGTGTTCTTCCTTTACTTCCAGGACTAACATCTATGATGTATGACCACTTAAGCCCACTACCACTACATGAGTATTTCCCCTTTCATTGAAAGATCCCTCTGACTGGATGATTCTCAAACAGGCCTTGTAGTTATGCTGTGACTTGTTGAAGCTCATCCAGTTAAGGCTTCTGTATGTGACTATTAAATGCCTTGCTAACCATACGCCTTTGATTATTGTTGTGACCATCTCCACTTTCTCCAGCAGGGATAGAAAACAGAAATCTGCCTGCTGTGGGAAGCACCATGACCAGCCTCTTAGGGGGCCTAAAAGGTTTCCTAGTTTCTTGTAATAATGGGTCCTTTTGAGAATCAGATGAAAGCTGTCACCTCTGAAAAATAAAATGTGCTCTCAAAATTCTGCACAACTATAAGAGTTTCATAAGTTTCCCAAGACCCTCATGAGCATCCTAGATTAAGAACCTCTCTGAAGTCAGGGTGCCCAGTTTATCTCTGTGGCATCTCTCGTCTTTTGTTTTCATACCCAAGGATGTTAGATTCATGCCAACGTGTTATATTAATTCCTTTATTTAAATAATTACTTAATTGAATTACTTTGGGCTATAAAAATTTGACCCAGCAATCCTATTACTGGATATATACCCAAAGGATTATAAATCATTCTATTACAAAAACACATGCACATGTGTGTTCATTGTGGCACTGTTTACAATAGCAAAGACCTGGAACCAACCCAAATGCCCATCAATGATAGACTGGACAAAGAAAATGTGGCACATATACACCATGGAATACTACACAGCCATAAAAAACGATGAGTTTGTGTCCTTTGTAGGGACATGGATGAATCTGGAAACCATCATTCTCAGCAAACTGACACAGTAACAAAAAACCAAACACTGCATGTTTTCACTCATAGGCAGATGTTGAACAATGAGAACACAAGGACACAGGGAGGGGAGCATCACACACAGGGGTCTGTTGGTGGGGGGCCAGGGGAGGGACAGCAGGGGTGGGGAGGAATCACATGGAGAGAAATGCCAGATACAGGTGATGGCGAGATGGAGACAGCAAACCACCTTGCCAAGTATGTACCTATGCAACAATCCTGCATGATCTGCACATGTACCCCAGAACCTAAAGTACAATAAAAAAAATGTTGAAAAAAAAATGAGATAATGCCTAGCCACAGAATTATTGCAAGAAAACCCTAAGGAAGTTGCAAGTGAGAGTTATGTATTTTAGAAATTGCAACTCTGCCTTTTGGGTAATAAATGCTTAATGAATATTTGTCTCCCAACCTTGTGTACCTTGTGACTAGTTTTGAACATACACTACAGACAAATTTGAATTTACAATTAACATGGACATATTCCATGACAATGACAGCATGATTCCAACAAATCACTGTTTCTGTCTATTTGAAATGAAGTCATATTGGGAGTATTACAATAGTAACTCAAAATATGTAACATCGATGTGTCAACCCTTGGCATGATTCACATTAATAATGTTCACTCTTACTACTAGTCCTTGCATCACTCAACAGTCAGAATATTAAATCTATATAGCATTTCTTGTTTCATTTATCTGATAATCTAAGCTGCTGTTATTTATGCTTTACTTCATGCCTTTGTTTAATTTATCTGGTGTTTGTCTTAATTTTCTCTTCCTTTACCCCTTTCTGATTCTGTTTTTCTGTAGCAGATGTCCTTACTGCCTCCCCTGCTCCTAACGGTCAGGAAGGTAAATGCCATTTGAACTGGGCATTCTAACTGCATGGACATCAGCATTCTGTTTCCAATTTCTTGGGCCTGGTTAGCATGACATTGTGATACTTCTGTGAATACACATGTAATGAAATGATTTATCTCATTTACTTCTTAGCCTGCATGGCCCTGATTTGGTATAAGGTCGTTTTGGTCTAAGCATTTGTGCTCTGATGAGATACTAAATCTTGAGTGAGAAATTAGCTTCCTTGTTTTTCATTTTAAAAGGCCATCATCACGATACACCTCTAATACCTTTTGAGTCATTCAGAATAGAAAGGCAAAAAAAGAGCAAAATATGATTATATCTCATACTTATTAGATATATTTTATTTTCTGTAATTATGATTATCACTTAGTAAATTAATAACAGTCATGAAAGCTTATTAATTATAATTGTGAAAACTTGCATTGTTAATAAGTCCCCCTAGGTTTTGGCATTTCTCAAGGCAAAAGAAGTAAATAGCTTCATTTCAAAGTGAGGGTGTTTAAAAGTGTGCCATCTAGAAGTGCTTCAGTCACTAAATCATTCCTGAACATGTGCTGTCAGCTTCTTGACACAGGATTCTTCCATAATATTTACACAATTCCAATCATCTGTATGAAAATGAGCATCCTCATTTAGATTATGTCTGTATGCCAGATTATTTGGAATCATTTAAATTATGTCTATAAGTGACAAAAACTACTGGTCAATAAATCAATTAAGTTGAAAATAACTGCATCAACCCAGTTTTTACAAGTATACTTCAAGCTATCGTTTTGTTGACATACTATACGTAGAGCCTCATTCAAGTATCTGGATGTCCTCATAGTGATGTATCAGTAGCTCTTAAGTGAAGCATTGGGTTCTTTTTCACTGAAGTCTGCTAACTTATTTTCAGACAACATTCTAGAAGACAGACCTGAAAATAAATCATGTAATGACAAGCTTCAGTTTGAGTATAATGAAGAAATCCCGAAGAGGATAAAGAAAGCAGATAACTCAGCTTGCAACAAAGGAAAGGTGGGTGAATGATTTCTGTTAAATGACACTTGGGCCTTGTGGTGCTCTTGTCAGTTTCAACTGGGATTCCACTTCCTCCCTATCCCTCCCTTTCACCTTTCCCCTCACTTTCCTTTAGATATCACAGTTCACTTGGTGATATTATTAGATACCCACCTTCCATTTGTGGAAAATTAGTCATTGATTCATCCAACCAATACCTACTGATGGTCCACGTGTGGCAGGTACTGAAGTGGCACAGGAGGCGGTTTAGTGATGGAGATAGACATGTCAATTCTGCCAAAGATAAGTGCATAGAACAGTGATTACACTGTGTTACCAGAGAATTAAGGACAGGCTCTAAGGAAAGATGATGTTTGAGAAGGAAGATTTGGCCAAGCAGACAAAAACAGGACATTCAGGTCAAGAGGACAACCTGGTATGTCCAGGGAATTGCAAGAAGTTTTAAAGGCATTTGGGATGACCAAGAAGATAAACAGGGGCCAGACAGCAGAGGAATGACACTGAGAATAGAAAGACAAATGAGATACCCAGACCCTACCCTCAAGTGCCTCATGGTTTATAGACTCCAAGCAAATCTTTACGTGTAGTTGCAATGACATTGTTGGATAATGGAATTATAAAATATGTCAAAAATTTGAGCCACAGAAGAGACATAGTCAATCTTCTATTTATTTAACAAAGATTAATTGACCATTCCACATGTAAGACAGCGGACCATGCACTGAGGGAAGATGAAGAATGAATTAGACTCATCTTCTGCCCTCAGAAAGCTTTTACTCTAGGAATGCTGTTGGGATATGTATAAGGATAATTATCGTGCAAGGGGAAATACAGTCATCACACCAGAAGAGAACAGATAAAGAGCTTTAGGAATTCAGAGAGGAGTGACATATACCTTCCATGTAAAATGGTATCATTTTCCCTTACTAGGTTTATGATATGGAACTGGGAGAAGAATTTTATCTTGCTCAGAATAAAAAGGAAAGCAGACAGATTGCACCAGAGCTTTCGGACCTTGTAATCTATTGTCAAGCAGTAAAATTTCCAGGTAAGATTAGGCAATATCATCTATAACATTTAAAGATACCAAAGGTTAAAAATATGCCATTTATTTAATTGGGCATTGTGAACACTCTCAAAATAACTAAATTGTGTTGCTGAAATCATTGTTATAATACCTCCTAAATATCTTTATTGTTATAATTTGCTTTGATGCTCATGAGGAAAAATACCATAATTCATTTTCCAGATCACACAATGTTTTTTATAATAGTTAATAATTACTATGAAAATAATAATTTCTAATTGCTAAAATGTATTAAGTACTTAAGTACTGGGATTTGTGCAATTTTACATACATCTTCTTTACTGTTCATAATGATTATACAAGATAGGTGATATTTCCTCTATCTTAAAATAAAACAAAGTCTGAGAGAGATGAAGTAATTTGCTCCAAGTTTCAGAGTATATCAGTTAAGATTCTTTTGTCTGAAAGTGGCAGAAATTGACTTAAGCAAAGGGAAATCTTTTGACTCATGTACTTAAAAATGAAGACACACGAGTTTCAGGTATAGCTAAACCAAGGCACATGCTTTCTCTCTCTTCATTTCTCGTTCTGCCTCCATCACACTGGCTTTCTTTCCTTTATTTTCTTTGTGGTTACAAGATGGCTTCAGCAGGCTGGCACTACATGCTTCCAGTTTCAGCTTCAGGGGAGGAGGATCTTCCAGAACTTCCCTCAGAAGTGTCATTGTTTTTCACTGGTCCTTTACCCAAGTGTCATTGTTTCTCATTGGGTCCTTTACCCAAACCTTAACCAATCACTGTGGCCAGAGGAATGCAGTGCTCTGATGGTCTGGAGCCCATGTCACACGTTCCATCCCTGAACTGGGTAGCAAGGCCCCACCCAAATCACAAGGACGAAGGATGGGGTTGAAGTGGAAGGGGAGATTTCCCCAACCGACAGTTTCTAGAAGTACAGTGGACTTAGGCTGACGAACCACTTCCCCAAAACAGTGTCCTTTTCAATTAATGAATGGTAGACCTATGGCCTGTTTCCAGAGTCCTGCCCTTACCCCTTATACTGCCTGGCCTCTCTCATTTCAAGCTGTTTTCAATGAGCTTACTCAATTATGTGTTCCACAAATGGAGTACCTGGGATGGAGGACAAACAAGAAACTCCATAAGTACATGCAACTCAGAAAAATTCATCTTTTCATACTAAGAAAAAGGATTCTCTTGAATAAAATTTCTGAGAACGGGAAAGTGGCTGAGATAGGAGCATCAGTCTACGCATTAGTAAACAGGGTATACTGACTTGGCCTGGAGAGAGGCATTAAAATGTCTTCATCTTTTCAAGATGGGCTGAACTCAGGTCCTGGCTCTCAGAGCATATCTTAAGCACCCAGTCTCACACCATGCCTGGCAAATGGGCCAGAGGCATTGAGCTATTTAAAAGTTAGGCAAACTGGGGGTGGTGGTGCATGCCTGTGGTCCCAGCTACCAAGGAGGCTGAGCAGGAGAAATGCTTGAGTCTAGGAGTTCAAGTCCAGCCTAGGCAACATATATAGCCTCTAAAAAATAATAATAATTAAATTCTTCAAATCGCAATTAGGTAATAGTGACCCTTTCATGCACCAGAGTCAAAAAAAATTATTTAATGATATGATGAAAATCATATATTTAATGAGATTAAAATCATTTTTAATTGCAAGTTTTCTCCTATAAACTGTTTTTAAACTTTTGGCAGCTGGTACTGCTGGTCTGCTAGCAAATCCTGTGGAGGAGGATATGATTCAATAAGTAACCAGCAGAGATTTCAAAGAAATGCAGGAACCTAGCCATTTAAGTTTAATTTCACAGACCATGACCTCATGGCATAAAAGTACAATATGAGCATTATTTGCAACTGGCAAAACTCTTTTTATGATGGCATAAAATTCTTTACCTGTCAAAGAGCATGGAGGCTGGCATGTTCTTCACTGCAGGAACAAGGATGAGAACAGGAGTCTCTGTTTAAGAGTCATACCCACTGCATTTCTTATTCTTTATAAATGCAGCTGGTGCTACACTTGGACCATCCCACTGACTGTCTTCTCTTCTCAAGCACTTAGTATATAAGGAGCACAAATTCCCAAAAAGATTTGAAGTCAGCATGAAAGAAAAAGTCTCTGTACCAATAGAAAATCATAGAAGGATCAAGAGGTCATTTGGTAGAGCTTCTAAGCATGTGGTTGTTCGGCTTATCTTTAAAATTCCAAGTATGTTGTTTTTTAAAAGTGTTCACGTAGCACGCATTTTTTATAGGTATAGTGTATTTTAATTTTTTTAGAAAAATTAAGTTTCTTACATTTTCCCCCAATTTTATTTCCTTTCTCAAAATAGTTAAATTGGATTGCCAAAAATTGTTGTTACAATACCTTCTAAATATTTATTGTTATGTGTTTGATGCACATGAGGAAAATGCTATAAACTGTTCATTTTGCTATGCTGTTTGTTTTAATTTTGCTGCATTATCAATTTCAGTGTATGTCACTTTTCATCATCCCAAGTCCCTTCTTATAAGCCATATGAAAAAAAAAAAAAAAAAAAAAAAACCTTCATTGCAGTAAGGCACCCAACAATCATGTGGTATGAAGCCCACAGAAGGGAAGGAACTTCCCCACCATCAGAAGCTAGTTCAGTGGCAGAGCAAGAGCCAGAACTGCCAGCTCCAGGGTTGGGCTCTTTGCAGCATACTACGGAAGTAGCTGAGTTTTTTTTGACATGCTTCCTCTCAGGGTTTGTCTCTCAGTTGCATTTAGTACTTCTGTTGACCTGGGTTTTTTTCTCCTTCTAATAGGAAAAAAAAAAGAAGGGTATAGTACTTTTATTTTATGACCCTACCAACATAGTTTCCAGTATCTTCCCACAAGCTCCCCTGCATCCTCCACTCTCCTCAGGCACCTACACACACTGCTGTCTTTCCAGTGCTAGGCCTTTGCTCAGAGTGTTCTCAGCCTTGCCTGGCCTTCCTGCTCCCCTTGACCCCTTGACTGGGTCCTTGTAAAGTATCTGAGACTCTTCAACTCACTGCAACATCTCCTTTCTGGAGCTCCTACATGTTTGGGTACCTCCTAGATACCGAACTGTTTCATGGTTAAGAGTACAACCTTTTCTTTTGAGTTTTTAAATTTTGACAGCTTTAGTGGTACAAGTAGTTTTTGGGTACATGGATGAATTGTATAGTGATGAAGTCTGGGATTTAGTGTACCTGTCACCCAAGTCATGTACATTGTACCTTATAGGTCGTTTTTCATCCCTCACCTCTCTCCCACTCCCTATTCGGAGTCTCCAATGTCCATTTTACTGCTCTGTATGCTTTGGCATACCCATAGCTTAAAAGAGTACAATCTTCTAAGAAAAATACTATTCAGGGGTGACAAGATCATCAGATAAGAGCATGGGTCAGAGACCTGGGCTCTTGGCTACGATGCTCTGTGATTTGGCCAAGGCAAATCTCTCTGAGCCTTTCTCACTCAAAAGTGGATTTGACGAGAATCCTTGTTTGTTTACCACACTTGCTGAAATCTCCAGAATCACCCAGGCCACCTGATTAACATACCCAGCCTCCAGCTTCTCTTCCAGGGATTTACATTTGGAAGGCACTGCAAGGCCCTGGTCCCTGGGTTTCTAAGGCAGGCGATTCAGGAGCAGGCAGCGCCAGATGATCTGGAAATCTGATTCTCAGGGGAATTTTGCCTCATTCTCCTTTGGATCCACCACACAGCCCACAGAGCAGGTGCACAGGGATTCCATGGTGAGGCTCGTCCAGAAGATTCTGTGACGTCCAGAGTTCATTTTTATTCCTAGACTGAAGGATCCACATGGGGAGAGCCTTGCAAATGTCAGTCCGTTCCCTGGACACCCACTCTGATTTTCTCAGCACTGAGAGTCAAGCTTTGTTCATCAAACAGTGGTTTACTCACAAGCCATTTGAATGACAAAAGTAGAACCCTACTGCCTAGGACAGCTTTGGGATAGCTGGATGTGGATTCCTGGCACTGAGTGTTGCCGTTCCCCACAGAGAGCCTTGGTATTTCCCATAGCCATTCTGGGTTACTCAGACCCACAGTGGTGCTGCAGGTTGGAACACCTTGGAGGGCAAAGGAATGCATTTCAGGACATGAGAGGGTTAGGAACAGAACTCTCAGGAGAATGTCAACCAACGCACCATTGAGAGGTAGCCCTGTTCACCAAAACTCAGTTACTCTCGGTGCCTCCCAGTATCTTGCCAAACCAGTGAAGACAGCTTTTCAGGCCTACAGGGACCAGGTAAGATGAGGCCCAGCTGTGCCCTGCAGGGCATGGCAGGCAAGGCACTCAGGAAGGAGAAGTGTGTGACCCTGAGTGGCTCTCAGACCATCCCCAGACTTAGCTTCTCTCCTGATTTTAGCAGTGCCAATATGTTGAATCCTCTGATGTCTCTGGGAGAGCATCCAGAAGAAAGCCTAGCACTGATTATATTTACAGTAATGCCTCACTTAACGGCAGGAAGATATGCTGAGAAATGCTTCCTTGGATTATTTTATCATTGCACGAAACATCAGAGTGTACTTAGACAAAGCTACAGTGTAGCCTAGATGGTGTAGCCTGTCTCTCCTAGGCTACAAGCCTGTATGGCATGTTACTGTACTGAATACTGTAGGTAAGTGTAACACAATGGTAAGTATTTGTGCATTTAAACATATATAAACAGAAAAGGTACAGTAAAACTATAAAAGGTTAAAAATGGTACATCTGTATAGGACACTTATGCGTGGAGCTTGCAGGACTAGAAGTTGCTCTAAGTGGGTCAGTGAGTGAGTGGCAAGTGAATATGAGGACCTGGGACAGTACTGTACACAACTATAGACTATAAACACTGGACACTAAGGCTACACTAAATTTATAAATAAAAATTTTTCTTTCTTCAAAAATAACCTTAGCTTACTGTAACTTCTTTTATAAATTTTTTTTATACTTTCTGACTCTTTTGTAATAACACTTAGCTTAAAATACAAACATTGTACAGCTGTATAAAAATATTTTCTTTTTTTATTTTTATTTTTTAATTAGAGACCTGGCCTTACTCTGTCACCCAGTGGTGCAATCATTGCTCACTGTAACCTTGAACTCCTGGACTCAATTGATCCTTTTACCCTAGCCTTCTGAGTAGTTAGGACTACAGGCATGTACCACCACCACCTGACTAATTTTTTTTTTTTTTTTTTTTTTTTTTGTAGAGACAAAGGTCTCACTATGTTGTCCAGGCTGATCTGCTGGACTCAAGTGATCCTCCTGTCTTGGCTTCCCAAAGTGCTGGAAATACAGGCATGAGCCATCGCACCCAGCTATTTTCTTTCTAATTTTTTTCCTTTTTTTTTTTTTTTTTCCATTCTGTGACTCTAGCCAGACATTTTCTTTCTTTATTCTATAAGCTTATCTCTATTTTTAACGTTTTTACTTCATTTTTTTTTTCTTTTTCTTTTTTTTTTTTTTTTGAGACGGAGTTTCGCTCTTGTTACCTAGGCTGGAGTGCAATGGCACAATCTCGGCTCACCACAACCTCTGCCTCCTGGGTTCAAGCGATTCTCCTGCCTCCGCCTCCCAAGTAGCTGGGACTACAGGTGTGTGCCACCATGCCCGGCTAATTTTTGTATTTTTAGTAGAGACGGGGTTTCATCATGTTGACCAAGATGGTCTCGATCTCTTGACCTCGTGATTCACCCGCCTGGGCCTCCCAAAGTGCTGGGATTACAGGTGTGAGCCACCACGCCCAGCTTACTTCATTTTTTTTTTAAATTATTAAACTTCTTAAATTTAAAACTAGGATATAAGCACCCATATTAGCCTAGGTCTACACAGAGTCAAGATCACCAATATCACTGTCTTCTATTTCCACATCTTGTCCTCCTGAAAGTCTTCAGAGACAATAACAAGCATGGAGCTGTCATCTCCCGTGATACCAATGCTTTCTTCTGGAATAGTTCCTGAAGGACTTGCCTGAGGCTGCTGGAGGCTGTTTTATAATTTATATGCATACATACATACATACATACATACATACATACAGCATACATAAATATATATGTAACATAGAAGGAGTACACTCTAAAACAATGATAAAAAGTATAGTAAATACATAAACCAGTAACATAGTCATTTATCATCAAGTATGTTCTATACATAATTGTAGTACTAGACTTTTATATGACTGGCAGTGCAGTAGATTTGTTTGCACCAGTCTAATCACAAACACATGAGTAATGTGTTATGCTATCATGTTAGGACAGCAGAAGGTGACAGGAATTTTTCAGCTCCAGTATAGTCTTACATGGGACCACTGTCATATATGTGGTCTGTTGACCTAAATGTTGTTATGCGGCTGATGACTGCACATCACTATGGAGGCAATTTCAAAGCTTCCAGCCAAATTAGGATTTCTGAAGGAAGATACCATCATATGTACTGGAGTCAATTTATTCTTTTTTAAAAGTTTTTTTTTTTTTCTTTTTAGAGACAGAGTCTTGCTAAGTTGCCCAGGCTGGACTCAAGCACCTGGGCTCAAGTGCTTCTCCCGCCTCAGTCTCCCAAGTCACTGGGCCTATTGCTGTGTACCACTGCATCTGGCTCTGGAGTTGGTTTATTCCTAAATACCTAGACAGCTTCTGCTCAGACTTCTATCTTGAAGCTTTAGTCACCATCAGATGTGCCAACACCTATATTTAAAATAAGTATTCTCATTCGCAACCACAAGGAAAAACACAGATGAGAGGAAGACCCTAAAATTAACTAGAGACTCAACTGAGGAAGAGAGGCAGCCATCAAGCTAACCATGTGGGTTTAAATCCCAGCTCTGTTCCATACGCCCAGTGGAGCATTTTCAGAAAAAAAAAAAAAAAAATCCCAGCTCTGTCTCTCTCTGACCTTGACTTGAACAGTTATGTATTAAAGGTGCTTTACACCTGGGATTCCCTATCTGTGAAAGGGCTGTAACAGTCCTAACTTAAAGAGCTGCTGTGAAAAATGGCAAGAAAGTATCTAGTGTGATTAACACATTGTCTGGAACATAGCTTTCTGGAAATGTCCTTATTGGTAAGTGAGCCAACAATGTAGATGAAGGTTCTTTGTTGCTTCTTCATTATTTTTTTCTGAACCCTTCTCACAATCCAAAATCCTTCCTTTTTTTGATCACTCAGCCCTTGTTTACATTCTTCCCCTCCCCATCCCAAAAAAGTAATCAGGCTCTTCACCGAGGTATCCACATACTGGTGGAAGATACTGACATGTGGCAGGATACATGCAAAACCCCAGAATGAACAGAGCCCTTCCCCCTGGCCCCTCATCAGTTTTACTTGGGGGAAAATCCATTATTGAATAATTGTGTCAAGAGCAAAATGTACACAAATATTAAGATCAAAGCCTAAGAACTCAATAGTGTAAGTTTGTGCATGTTTGCTGTTATGGATAGTTTGGAGGGGAAAAAAAAACCACCTTAAAAGCCCCACATTAAGCTATAATAATAACAGCTCCTGTGGACTGAGTAAGTATGGACAAGTGGAGCATCCCTAATCTGAAATGCTCTACAATCCAAAACTGTTTGAATGCTGACATGACACTCAAAGGAAATACTCATGGAAGCATTTTGGATTTTGGATTTTCAGACTAGGAATGCTCAAGCCGGTAAGTATGACACAAATATTCCAAAATCTGAAAAAGAAAAAAAAAATCTGAAATCTGAAACACTTTGAATCCCGAAGCATTTCAGATGAGGGATATTCAACCTGTATATGTATATTTTCTTGTTTATTCCTAACCATAGCTCATTTATAGATGACAGTGTGATCTAGAAAGGTTAAGTAACTTGTACGAGGTTGTCCTTCTAGGAACAGATTTTAAACGCAGCTGTGTCTCACTCCAGAGTCTATGCTCTTAAACACTACTCTAGCCTGTCTCTGATGATGATGTTCTTGAAAGGTGAATTTTCATCTGAAAGAGGACCTCCTGAATGCTGCTTCAGCTTAGGGAATTACTCTCTAAAGGTACAATTGTGACAGTGGGAACAATCTAGAGGCAATTCTGGCTTCACTGGTGCCTTCAGTTCACTCTTTTTACATTGGAGCCAGGTCCGTGTGGTCTGTATTCATTTCCTCATTCAGCAAATAAGTATTCAGTTCCTGCTCTGCACCAGGCACTGGGCCAGGCATGAAGGATCCAGGGAATGGTTAGACCAGGAGTGAGAAAGAGAAGCCATGAAACATAATTTTCACCATATTTCCCATTTAATCTTCAGACTAACCCTATGATGAGCGAGTTCCTATCATGACACACATTGTGTAGATAAGGAAACTGAGAAGGTGATGTTAAGTCAAGGCCTGATACCAACAGGAATTGAACCTAGACAATATGACACTAAAACTCAAGCCTGTAGCCATTTCTTCATCTCTCCAAACTGAATAATTAGCCCCTGATCATTTCCAGCTACCACACCTTCTTTCATCCAGTTTTTCAAAATCTTTGATGCACAATAAGCTAAGTGTGTGTGTGATTTCGTGGCCATTCTACGTTAAGCACGCAGTTCTTGCTGCATTTGCCTAGATTTTTTAAACTTGGCTTTAATTGCCTACAATGCTATTATGAACAGAACAAAAACTGCTAGCAGGGCTTCCGTACTAGGTTCCAAGGGAGTAGTAGGACTTCAAAATAAACATTGACGGGGATGGAAAATGTTGAGTTGCCTTGCTTGTAGTTTTTGGCTTATTTATTTTCATTTTATGGGAACAGGCCTGTCAACTCTAAATGCATCTGGCTCTAGCAGAGGAAAAGAAAGAAAAAGCAGGAAGTCCATTTTTGGCAACAATCCGGGCAGAATGAGCCCAGGGGAGACAGGATCATTTAACAAAACATCTGGAAAAAGTAAAGTTACTTTCTTACAATATCTTTGCTTGATTCTGCATGCTGGATGATTTAGATATTTTACGGTCTAAGCACTTCCTCTGAATTTTTTATTCCTTTTTATTTCTATGAACGTAAATATTGTCTTAGTATAAATTTTTGTCATTGCTAATTTATACTTACTAAAAATAGCGTTTCAGGCCAGGTGCAGTGGCTCACACCTGTAATCCCAGCACTTTTGGAGGCCGAGGCAGGTGGATCATTTGAAGTCAGGAGTTCTAGACCAGCCTGGACAACATAGTGAAACCCCTTCTCTACTAAAAATACAAAAATTAGTCAGGTGTGGTGGCTCACGCCTGTAATCCCAGCTACTGGAGAGGCTGAGGCAAAAGAATTGCTTGCCCAGGAGGCAGAGGTTGCAGTGAGCTAAGATCATGCCACTGCACCCCAGCCCTGGGCAACACAGCAGGATTCCATCTCAAAATACATAAATAAATACAAATAACATTTCACTGAAGATGTTCAGGTGTTTGCCTCAAAGTAAAATTGAGGCACCTTGGAATACTCAAGTGGTTTCTTGAACTGTTCTCTTCACCATTATAACTCCAGAAGACATATCTATTTCTAGTTACTTTTTATTATGAAAGTAATAAATTCTCATAGTTAAAAACTCAAACAATACAGAGTATTATTAAAATTCCTTTCCACTCAATGTCCTGGTGCTATTCCCCAGAGGGTAACCACTGTTAAGTTGTGTGTTTGTTCAAGAAAAAATAAGATCCTTTTAAAGATAATCCAAATGGGATACAGGCATACTTTGGAGATATTTCAGGTTTGGTTCCAGACCACTACAATAAATGAGTCACATTAATTTTTTTCCTAGTACCTATCAAAGTTATGTCTACACTAAATCATAGTCGATTAAGTTTGCAATAACATTATGTCTAAAAACAATGTACATACCTTCAACAGAAAATACTTTATTGATACAAAATGCTAACAATCATCTGAGCCTTTAGCAAGTTGTAATTTTTTGCTGATGGACGGTGTTGCCTCAATGTTGATGGCTGCTGATTCAGCAGGTGGGTGGTTGCTGAAGGCTGGGGTGTCTGGCAATTTCTTACAAGACAATAGTGAAGTTGCCACATCAACAACTCTTCCTTTTACAAAGGATTTCTCTGTATCATGCGATGCTGTTTGATAGCACTTTACTCACCGTAGAACTTTCAAAACTGGAGTCAGTCCTCTCAAACCCTTTTGCTGCTTTATCAACTAAATGTATGAAAATATTCTAAATCCTTTGTTGTCATTTCAACAATGTTCACGGGTTCTTCACCAGA